ATCGCTCACAGCCTCACCCAAGATGGGTTTCTTAAGTGCAATAAGCTGCCTGTCCCGTTGCCACTTTCCAGAGCCACCCTCCGGCTGTTGTCCCGGTCCGTCTGTTTTTATTAGTCCATTGTACATGTACATGTGTCAGAATGCACAAATCTTAACTTACATTTAACAAATGGCTACACCCACATAGCACACCTCCTATAAAACTCTGGAAATGTCCACATTGCCAAAAAGGTCCCTGCAGCCCTCCCAGGCGGTCCCCACTCCACCAGTGGCGGTCATTGGCTCCACAGCCCGCCAGGTGCCTGCCCCCTTCTTGTCCTCACAGCAGGGACATTCACCCAGTTGCTCCTTCCCTTGCTGGCTGTAGGCTGCCCCATGCGTGCCTTAGTCTGTCCGTTTTCCGACTGCGGGACCGTCGGGCCGTCTCCAGTTGTTTGGTGATAGGGATAAACCAGGTGAATATGGTCCCTTTGCGGACACGCGCGCGGCCTTTCTCCTGGTCACACTGAGGACTGGCGTTGTTGGGTCCAATGATAGGTGTATAGTTAACTTGGTACGAAGCTGGCAGACCCTTCCAACGTGGTGTGCCACCTTCGAATTCCCTCGTTGGGCACCTTGCCGCTGCGCCCTGTCCCCAGCACGACTCCCGGCCGCCAGCCCGTGGACTTCAGGGCGGGCATGTGGCGGGATCCCACGTGGCTGTCACTTGCATCCCCAGTAACTGCTGGAGCCGAGCATTGTTCCACATGTTTATCATGTAACTTCCCCCTCAAGGCATCCGGCAAACCCATGGCCACAGCACACAGCTCACGGAGGCAACTTCTGTATTTCATGGGGAGATTCCTGTCCTGTTTCTGCCTATTACTGACTCCAATTTTAAAAAAATTCTCACCCGAGGATATGTCTGGAGAAAGGAAGGGAGAGAGAGAGATTGGTTGCCTCCTGTATGCGCCTCAGTGGGGGATCAAACCCGAAACCATTGAGCGCACAGGATGACGCTCCAACCAGCTGAGCCACTCAGCCAGGGCTCCGGTTATTTTTAAACAGATATGTCTTTGTCTAGAACTTCACTGTTATCCGCAGGCGTGGGGCCAACCAAGCTCTGTTCCGTTGAGTGGACTCACCGACCTGGAGCCACACGCCCCCGTTGTGCGTGGGCTGCCCAGTGGAGTATCTGCCTTCATCGGGTTTAGATTTGCCAAGGAGTTTGACAGAAACAGGCCTAGCTGGGACGCCTGGGCAGGGCTGCTGAGCCCGGCGAGGGGTACGGGGGGGAGAAGCTGCTCCATCAGGCAGACGGGAACTGGGGGGACTGGAGCTTCTGTTGACTGACGGCGGGATCCACACTTCAGATTCAAGAGCAGGTGCCGGAGCCCAGAGGTGGGGCCTGGGGCTTGGAGCAGACCCGGCAGGGGTGGGTGCTTGGCCTCGGCCTCTGTGATTGGGACGAACCAAGGAGGCGGAGCCCGGAGCTGGAGCCTCTGAGGGCCAGTGGGAATGGAGGGTGGTGGTCCACCCAGGACAGAGCCTCAGAGAGCTGAGGCTTGTGACACGAGTGGGCAGAGATGTCTCTGCCTCCTTCCCAGCCACGTGGGTGGGGCGGGTGGGAGAAACAGCTTGGTGGTGACACCGCAGGGGAGGCAGAGTCTGGGAGGGACAGCCCAGTGAGGGGCCCGTTTGAGAAGTTTGCCCAAGGGGAATGCCCACGTCACACCCAGGAAGTTGGCCCTGGGACGGAGTGGGTGAGAGGGTGAGGTTCAGGGGATGGAGGACCACCGTGGGAGGTGTGGCAGAACGGGGTCGGGCCTGGGGCCCTGCGCTGCAGCTCGGAATGCCAAGCGGCCTGCTGGCCCTCAGCTGTGCCCGGCTGCCTCTGGGTTGCCCAGCACATAGAGGCAAAAACAGAAATGCCATCGAATGTTACTGATGAGAAAACTGCAGGCTGGCCCAAGTGTGGGCAGAGCCAGGCTGGGGTCTGGGCCTCCAGGCTCCCAGGCCAGGGTCCTCTGGCCTCCACGCTCTTCTGAAACACCATGGGTCCCCCAAGACTGGCATGTTGAGGTCCTAACCCCGGCACCCCCGAATGTGGCTCCATTTGGAAACGGTCTTTGCAGAGATAATCAAGTTAAAACTAGGTCTCTTTAATTCAGTCAGCCTGGGGTCCTCAAAAGAGGAGATCAGGACACAGGCCCAGCCCTGTGACACCTGGTCAGGGACCTCCGGCTCCAGTGGGGAGAGAATGGGTTTCTGTTGTTTCAATGGCCCAGGCCACTGCAGCAAAGTCACACAAGCGCTAAAGAACAGACACGCGAGCCCTGGCCGGTTTGGCTCAGCGGTTAGAGCGTTGGCCTGCGGTCCGGAGAGACCCGGGTTCGGTTCCCACCAAGGGCATGTACCTCGGTTGCAGTTTGTCCCCGGCCCTGGTTGGTCATGCGGGTGGCAGCCACTCGATGTGTCCCTTTCACGTCAATGTTTCTCTCTCTCTCTTTCTTCCTCTCTCTCCCTCCCACTCTATCTGTGCAAAAAATGGAAAAATGTCCTCTGGTGAGGATGAAAAAAAAAAAATTAAAAAAAAAAAAAAAGAACAGACACACGAGATCTGGTGCTTCTAGAAAGAAATGCGTCTTTTTTTTTTTTAAATCCTCACCCAAGGATATTTTTCGATATTTTTTTCAGATAGAGTGGGAGAAAGAGAGAGAGAGAAACACCGACGTGAAAGGGACACATCAAGTGGTTGCCACCCACACGACCCAACCAGGGCCGGGGACAAACTGCAACCTAAGTTATGTGCCCTTAGCGGGAACTGAACCCGGGTCTCTCCAGACCGCAGGCCAACGCTCTAACCGCTGAGCCAAACCGGCCAGGGGGTGTCTTTGGTCTCCATCCGCTTTGCTGCACAGAGCAACCCAAACCTTGGGAATTTCCTGTGACAAGAGTGGCAAAGGCGTCTTCCGTTATGTCATTGAGGTAACTTGGAAACTTGGAAAGACCCAGGTCACCCTTAGATGGGGATTAGAGGGTTGGAACTTCCAATTCCTCCCCCCCCCCTCCCCCAGCTTCCAGGGAGGGCTGGGAGTTGGTCAGTCGCCAGTGAGTTCATCAGTCGTGTCAGGGGAATGAAGGATCCACACAGACCTCGCAGGAGGGGCCCGTGACCAGGTGGAGATGTGAGGGGTGGTACCTGGAGAGAGCATGGTGCTCCAAGCCCCTTCCCAACTGCCCTGGGTATTCCCGAGTTACATCCTTTCATGATAAACCTGTGACCTAGTAGGTAAACTGTTTCCCTGAGTCCTGTGAGCTGCTTAGCAAACTAATCAGACCCCAGGAGGGGCCATGGGAGCTCCGGTCTGCAGCCGGGTCAGCGCAGGTGAGCACCTGGGTGTCTGCAGCGAGGTCCGGGCTGCGCCGGTCCTGCAGGACTGAGCCCTTGACCTGTGGGATCTGACGTTGTCCCTGGAACTTAGGAACCCAGCTGGGGTCGGAGAATTGCTTGTTGGATTCGGGGGCCTCCCCACCCCACCATCCACACGGAACTTGGTCCCGAACCTGAATCAAGCTGAAGCTGTCTGCTGAAGGCCAGGGGATGGGTTCCCTTCACCCAGCCTGTTTCATTATCACACTGATGAAAATAAAACTGTGTGGATCCAACTCGGGGAGCTGACTCCTAGCTCCCTCAGAGCCCCTGGCCCCGATCTCCCTGGATCCCCCTAGCACTGACCTCCCTACGGGGCTGTGGCGGGTGGGCATGCCCGACACTCAGTCCAGCTGGTCCCCCCTCTGAGCTGCCTTCTGCCCCCAGCCCAGCCCCCCACAGCCCTGGAGGCTGCACTTTCTGCCCCTCCTGGCTCCACACCCTGGAACTGCCCCAGCCCCCAGCCAGCTGTCCCCAGGCCTCCCCAGTCACTGCTCACACACCGCCCTGCTCCCCCTGGCTGCTGTCCTGCTTGCCTGTCACCTTTGCAGTGGCTGGTCCTCAGCCTGGACTGCCACCTCTGTTATCCCCCCGATGCTCCCAAGAGCCACCGTGGCAGGGGTGGCTTTGGGATCCCTCTTGCTGACCCTGAGCTCCCTGTGGGCTCTTCCTGGCTGCCCTGCGGAGCCAAGGTCCCAGGAGGGCCAGCTCAACCAGGCAGCAGCCCCCTCCTGCCTCAGTTTACTATGAACAAAGAGGTCACAATGAATGTCGTCCAGGGAGTGTGCGTGGAAGTCACCCTGCCCAGGAACGGGGCTCCAGCGTGAGCTGTGAGCACAGCTTGGCAGAGCTGGGCAGGAGGGATGGGCCTGGGAAGCCCCCTCTGGGGGTCAGCCCCTCCCCTCAAGGGACCTCTTCACCGCCCTCCTCCCCTAGCTGGCTGGCATGGTGACAGCCTCCTCCCAGTTTTGAGAAGGCTGGGCTGAGTCATGGGACCAACTGGGAACATGACAGGGCCTCCCTGCAGGACAGCGGCTCCCCGGGAGGCGGGCTGGGCAAAGGAAGAGGCGTCAGGCATCACCTCCAGAGCAAGGGCTGCATTTGGGTCAGGACTGGGAAGGCCTCAAAGTTTGGTCCAAGGATCAGTGTTCCTTCCAGCACAGCTTGGCCTGCCGACCTCTGAGGACCCCTTGGCAAGCTGGGCCCACACCCTGCACGGGCTCTGCCCCAGCTGGAGGGCACTCTGGCCAGGACTGGGCTTGGGACATACAAGAGGCCGTCTGCCCATCTGCCCCTCTCAGGCCTTCTAGGGGCTAGGCAGGCCAGGGGTGAGGGGGGCAGGAGGGACCACCCCTTTTCCAGCCTTGCCCACCTCTTGCCCAAACCCGGGCCTCTGAGGGCTCAGTCCCGCCCTGGGGGAGCCCCGGGAGCAATGAGGTGTGGAGGGGGGCAAGGCAGAGGGTGGTGAGGGGAGGGCAGACGGGGCAGGGGAGTGGCACTGGCTCTGGAGGCTCAGGTCCAAGCCCAGGGCCTGTGACTGCTCAGCAAGGTTCCCCTCCCTCAGGGCAGGAAGCCACCAGGCCTCCAGGCTGGTCCCCATGGCATCCTGCCCCCAGCACAAACCTGCCTCTGGGCACCCCCCCAAACTCAGGGCAGGGTGGGGGCAACCCAGGCAGAGGATGTGCCAGCAGTCTACAGCCCTGCCCCAGCCGACTCCCCCACGGGGTACAGCAGGTGGTGGCATCTGGGACACCCCCGGCCCCACCAGCTCAGCCCAGCAGTGTCCACACCCCCACACACTCGGAGACGCACACACTCCCTTCCCCAGGAATCACCGGGCCTCTCCAGCTGGGGTGGCCTTTATTCACCGTGTCACCATACAGACGAGGACGTGAACACAGGGAGCTCGGCGTGTGCGCAAACAAAGCCTCCCGCCCAACGGCCAGCGGGAAGCACTGTCCTCTGGTCACCCGGAGCCTCCCCCTCCAGGGGCAGAGCGGCAGCCAGCCAGAGGCTGGGCTGGCCCAGGGGGACCCCACGGCAGGCTCCACCCAAAACGTGTCTACACACACTCCCACACGATTCGTATCTTCAGTGTGTACACACTTCACGCGAACTGTGTCGCTTAGCGAGCTGAACGCTGACAGCTTCTCTTCAAGCTCACTTCACAGTAACTGTCGGCAGAAGACAATGAGTCCAGTGTTGATAACTCAGGGCCGACTTCCCGCCCCAGGAAAGTCCATTTCTCCCCCATGGAAGCCCCTGGGGAAAACCAGGCCCTGCCACCTCCCGGCTGCCCATTGCTGCCCGCAGGGCTTGGCCGGCCATTAGCCAGCTTGCACACACACCCACATGCGCGAGCACACACACACACGCACACACACACACGGAAACATCATGCCCAGTGTGCAGTTGCACTGGCCTTTCAGTAGGTGGGAGACGGGGCAGGGCAGTCGGAAGCAGGGGTCCCCTTCACCCAGCTCCCTGCACAGGGGGTCTAGGGCCTCCGAGCCCCAGGCATCAAGACAGGCCAGCCACACACTGGGGAGCCAAGGGCCTGCAAGGGGATGAGCCCATATGTCCTACTGGGAAGGTCCTGTCACTTCAGACCAGGAAGACGAATAAATACGACATCAAGTGTTGTCAGGAGAAGGGAAAATAACTTAAACTTGGCTGGACTCTGTCCTCAACCATGTCCAGTCACAGCAGAAATAGCCCCTGTGGTCTGGGGAACCAGGAGTCTAGGTGGCTCTACCACCTGCAAAACCCCCCAAACCTGGGGCTGCCTGTCCCGACATAAACAGAGGTTCCAGCAGCAGTGAGTAGGCGAGCAGGGAAGGGTGCCCCCAGCCAGCCACAAATACAGCGCCTTCCATATCCGAGGAGCATCAGTCCCCCAAGACTGTGCATGAAGCTGTGGCCCAGCCCACAGCTAGCTACCCTCCCCCGCCCCGCTGACTTCACGCAGCCCACTGTAGGGAAGGGAACCCTCCATGCAGTGCTCCTGGTAGAGAGGAGCCTGGGCCCCTGCTCTGTGCTCTGGAAATAACCAGCAGCTCCAGGAATGGACACGTGACCTGCAGGGTCCGGTCCCCTGAGGCCTGGCAGCGGCCACCCTGGGGTTGCTCACAGGCATCCTGGACCCTGTGCCCAGGCAGGGGAGGTGACACGGCCCACTGCCCATGGGCAGACATCTGGCAACTTCAGGAGGCTATGCATCTAAAGAAAATAGTTTCCAAATTCCAAGCCTGTTACAGTGTGGTCAGGGCCACAAGCTGTCTCCCACCGTGATGCCTGGAACCCCACAGCCACAAGCTTCTAAATGGTTCTGCTCCTGCTGCCCAGATGCCCGCACTGGGCCTGCACCCCCTCCAACACCAGCTGTGCCCCAATGGCCTCACACTGACAGCTTTGGTGATGCATCCTTCACCAAGTGGGGCCAGACTCACAAGGGTCCCCAGAGCACACCAGTGAGGGGATCAGGGAGTCCTCAAGGGAGAACACACAGGCTGCCCCATGCAGAGGTGTCTGGGCCAAGTTCGGGGGCCCTTGAGACACCCCCAGAACTGGAAGGAGAGGAAGACAGTGTCACAGTCAGGGTACAAGGTGGGGGAGAGGGGCAAGGCATGAAAGGGAGCTGCAGAGTCTGAGTCTGGGGCCACTGTTCTGGGGGGCAGCAGGGTTCTTTCTGCTGGGCGGGTCCAGCCCCAGGAGCTTCCACCGGCCAGCTCTGGGTCCCTCGCACTGCATCCCAGTGCCCCCCGTCCCCAGGAGGTCAGCCTCGCCCTTCCACTACCACCCCCGCAGAGACTGACAAGTCACACCAGGCCGCAGTGGAACTTTCGGACATGGCGGTAGAGGTCCCCCGACTGCGTGAAGCGGCGCTCGCACCAGCGACAGGCGTGGGGCTTCTCGCGGGTGTGCACCACGGCATGGCGGCTCAGGTTGTGCGAGTATTGGAAGCTCTTGCCACACTGCACACACGTGTAGGGCTTCTCGCCCGAGTGCGTGCGCTCGTGCCGCTTCAACGTGTACGCGCAGGAGAAGGTCTTCCCACAGAGTGGGCAGGTGGGCACCGTGCCGTCAGGCGAGAGCCGGGCGCGGGCGCTGTCCCGCTCGCGGAAGTGGGCACTGAGGTGCAGCTGCAGCACGTGGGCGCTGGGGAACAGCTTGCTGCACAGCGGGCACATGCAGAGGTGGCCTCCGGGTGCCAGCTCGTCCTCGATGGCCTTCCGCTCTGCATCCAGCGCCAGCTCCCGGCTGCCCACCCCACTGACTGGCAGCAGCTCCAAGCCCCCTGCCAGGTGCTGGGCTGCAGGAACACAGGGTGGCTGCAGGGGGCTGTGGGGACTCAGGGCGCCAAGGCTGTCCTGTTCCGACAGTGAGTCCTGCTCCTCCTTCACTGGTGGCTGGGCCCGTTGCTGCATCTGACTGCAAGGGGGTGTCTGCAGGACACAAGGCGGGTGGACTGGCTCCCGCCTCCGGCCAGGCTTCAGTGACAGGTCCAGAGCCCGGTCTGATTCTACTGGAGCCTTCCAGGGAGGAGGCCCCCGGGCTCCTGGAAGGATGGCAGCCTTGACCCCAGCCCGGGGGAGCCTGGCCTTCTGGGCAGCTGGGCAGAGCTCAGGGGTCCAGGAGGGCAGGAGGCGGACAGGCTGGCCGGCCGGCTCGGCCCCAGGGGTCGGGATCTCAGGAAGCAGCGCGTGGTCCTTCTCCCTGAGCCTGCCCTTGCAGACCTTGACGATGTCGTACATGTGCAGGTAGCTGGCCGCGGCCAAGACGTCCTCGACAGGTAGGCTGCGCAGGTCCAGGCGGCCCTCATACATGAAGTCCAGCAGACGGCCGAAGGCGGGCGCCGTGACGATGTCGCCGTTGAGCCGCACCGTGTCGCGGCTGCCCGCGGGCCGGTCCCTGTAGAAAAGATGGAAGTAGACGCTGCACGCGGCCAGCACGGCGCGGTGGGCCGGGAAGCGCGCGTCGCCCACCAGCACGGTGCAGTCGCACAGGAAGCCGAGCTCGCGCTGCTGCCTCAGGCGGCCGAGCAGCCGCCCTCCGTGCTCCGGGAACTCCATGCCGCCGCCGTCATCACCTGGGCACAAACGGACGCCCGTGAGCGCGCCTGCCGACGCCGCGGCCGCCGCCGCCCCGGCCGCCCGACGCGCCCTCCCGGGTGCCGGCAGCGCGGGCAGAGGGCGCGGGGCGCCGCGAGTAACCTCCTGCCCGGAGCCGTTTGGGGCACCTGCCCCGAGCAGGAAAAACTCGCTCGAAAGTAAACAGAAGCCGCTCCGCCGCGGGGGCGGGTCCCGGGGCGCGGGCGGAGGGGGCGCGAGCCGCTCGGACTCGCACGACTCCCCGCCTGGGGCGCCCCTCCCTGCTCCTGAGCCCCTGAACTTCACTCTGGGGCGGCCGCCCGCCGCGTCCCCCGACGCCCGGGTCGCCGCGCCGTCGCCGCCCCAGGTCCGCGCCTCCAGCTGCCGCCCGGCCCGCCAGATGCCGCCGCCGCCGCCGCCGCCGCTGCGGGCCCCATTTATGGCAGCGCGGCCGCGGGGAGCGGGCCGGCGGGCGGGGCAGGCGGAGCTCGGCGCCCGCCCCCCGCGCTCACCTCCGCCGTCCAGAGCTCCTCTCCGGCCGCCGCCCGCCCTCCCCGGTGCGGCCCCGGCGCACGGAGCTGCGGGCAGCGCGCCCCGGCGGGGAGGGCGCCGGGCGGGGCGCCCTCCAACTTGGCGGGCCCGGCACCGCCTGCAGCTCGCCCCGCCCCAGAGAGAGCGAAACTCGGGGCGGGGGCTGGAGGGGGCGGGCCGAGGCGACTTCCCGGAGCGGCGGAACCGCTGAGGTCACCCTCGCCTCCCCTTCCTTGCCCGCCCCGCCCGACTGGGCCCCGCATGCCGCCAGCTGGGGCGCCGGGGTGGGAGGGTATGCGGGACGCGGCGGGGGAGGGGGCTCTCTCGCGATACTTGCCGCCTACGCCTCGGTGCCCCCCTCCCCAATCCCCGCCCGATGGGGTCCCAACTGCGCCCGTCTGCTAAGGGACCCCTTCGGAGGACCAGCCCCTCTCCTAGCCCGCGCTGGGGCAGTCATCCGAGAGCGCTCTCGGGACCCTGGCCTTCTGCCACCTCGCAGGAGGCCGGCGCGGGATGGAGGAGGGGGGCGGAGTGGGGGTATCATAATCATAAATTTGGAAAAGATGACTCCCCGTTTTCCTTGAAAGTCAGTATTTAAATTTAAGTTAATTTAGCTGGGACCCTCTAGCAAACACTCAAGTGGGATCTCGACCTTGGAGTCTGGAGCAGGGGACTCCCACGCTCAGAGGGCCCTAGCTCAGCATGTGCCTTGGAGCTGTGCCTCTGAGGCGAGGGGACATGACAGGTCCCAGCAGACATGGCAGGGTGGGGGGCCAAATGCCTCCAGAGCCCAGAGCAGGTGGGACAGTGTCCAGGGAGGAAGAGACACCAGAGGGGCCTGGTTGGCGTCCCAGGTACAGGGTGTCTCAGGTGCAGGAGCACTGAAGATGCAAGCACCTGGTCCTGCTGCCCGAAGGAACAGACAAGCTTTTGGAGAGGTGCCCACCGCCCCCCCACCCCCACTCTTGGCTGTGGAGTGTTCTCCCAGGGGCGTGATCTAAGGGGCTGCCCTTGGCCGAGCAGCCCTGAGGCTCTGTGGACCACAGCTCTGCTCAGCTTCACAACAGTCCCTCTGGTTAGATGCTGGAATCATCACACCCATTTGGGTGTGGGATGCTGCCCACATTGCAGGCAGCAAGTCACTGAATCAGGATTCGAATCCTGAACTCTCCTGAATTCCCACCTGCACTTCCTGGCAGTCCCCAGATGGAGGGTAGGCAGGGAGGTGGAGATCCAGCCAGGAGCGAGGGGTAGAAAGGAGGCCTTGACTAGGGGATGGGGCGGTCCTGGAGAGGCACTAGGTTACAAAAGATGGGACTCTAGCTGGCCAGGTATCAAGGGCAGAGGAGTGGGGAGCCCTCCAGCCATTCTTCTTGGTGCCACAGAGAAGGGAGAGCCATCTGGGAGGGTAGGTGGCTGTCCAGCAGTCTTGGTCAAAGGCCATGGGTTGGGGGCCTGAGGAACCCTGCAGACATACAGTCTGCAGGAAGGGAAAGCACATTCTTACACTAAAAAGCTATTCCTGCCCTGGCCGGTTTGGCTCAGTGGTTAGAGCATCAGTTCGTGGACCAAAGAGTCACAGGTTCAATTCCTGGTCAAGGACAGGTACCTTGGTGTGAGTTCAATCCTTGGCCCGGTTGGGGTCATGCAGGAGGCAGCGAGTCAATGTGTCTCTCACATTGACCTCTCTCTCTCTCTCTCTCTCTCTCTCTCCCCCCCCTTCCTCTCCTTCACTCCCTCCCCTCCTCCTCCCTCCCTTCCACTCTGTCTGAAAATCAATGGAAAAATATGCTCAGGTGAGGATTTAAAAAAACAAAACAACTCTTCCTTGTTTGTCTGAAATGCAGATCTGCCGGGACACCCTTCATTCTCATTTCCTAAATCCAGCACTTAGAGCTTGGAACCCTGGACTCCCATTGTACTCCGTCACTGAGACTGCCCTGGCTCCCATGGCCCCGCCCCCTGTGGGGACCCTCCTGGAGGAGGGCCACCACCCCACCCCCCTTGCCCCAGCTGCCAGCAGGGGAAGCTGGATTCAAGTCTGGTGTGAGTGAACCCAGATGGGCCACCCCCCTGGGTCTGGCCTCCCAGCCTTGGGCATGACCCTTAATTTCCTTGAACTTTAATATCCTCATCTCCGAAACGGCAAGATCCCAGGGCCTTTTACTAGTCACTCAGGTTCCTCCCGAGAGAGCCCTCCCCTGCCCCCCCCCCCATTGCTATCTGTAACAGTAGGTACCCAGAGCGGTCTTCCTGATCACCCAGCTAAGCCCTCCTCCTGCCAAGCGCACATCCCTCTCTGGAGCCTTCTCCTTCTCCAGCTCCCCGCCCAGCAGTGTGCCCATGCTGTGACAGGGCTGCTGGCACCAAGTGGCCTTTCAGTTAATGTCTCTTGAGAGAATGCCTGCTGGTGGCTCCTGTGAGGGACGCACGTAGGTGCCACCACCCTCATTCCCACTGCTCTGTAGTGCCCACCGGCTCACTGATGTCTCCCCTGGCTTGACCCTCGAGCCTGTGGAGGGAGGGGAGGCCGGCCCTGAGGAGCTTAGGTGGAGTGCGGCCCTGGGGTGGGCAGAGTGCTCCTTGGGCACCTGCAGAGGTTGTGGGGCACAGAGAGGGCCCATGCAGGCCAGAACGCTGTCCGCAAGAGCCTGGGGTGGGCCTGGGGGGCCAGCCAGGTCGGGGTGGGCTAAAAGAGGAGGAACGCCACTGTGAAAGAGGCCCTCTGGCCTCTGGAATCACAAAGTCTGAGCTAGATCCTCTTGTCCCAAGGAAGGTCTGTCCCAGGCAGCCCCAAAATGGCAGTCCGGAGCTGGCCACCCCGTAGCTCTCGGGTGCCCTATCTGCCTAGCAAGGTCTCAGGCGTGGGATAACAGGAGGCATCGCAGTGGTGTGGACAGTGCCTCCCTGGGTGCAGCGGACCAGGCGGCCATCTGGCCCAGGAGCTGCCCTGCGGCCCCGCCCTGCAGCTGCTGCTGAGACCAGGCAGCCCTGGGCACCAGGCGAGGAGTCCTGCTCGATGGCCAGCAGCTGCAGAAGGTGACAGGGCTGGAGTCGCTTGTGCTCCTAGAGGGGACGGCAGTTTTTGTTGGAAACATCTGGCCAGGGGGCTCCCCAGTAGGTCCAGTAGTGGCCAGGGCCAGAGACAGACTGGGCCCTCTCTGACCATTCTGTCTGGGGGGCAGGGTGGGGTGTTCTTGGGGAGAGGGCTCTGCTTTTCCTCCAGGAGGCCCATGGAGGAGGGGACTGGCCCTGTCCAAAGGGTACCCCATCACAGGGCAGTCTCACACACAGGTGCAGAGTGGGGTGTGGGGTCATAGAGGGTCCCCGGCACTCACTGGGCGCCAGAGCTCTGTAAGAAGCCTGAAGAGAGGCATCCTGGAGCCAGGCCAGTGGCGAGTGGGCCAGGAGGTTTGGGGCCACCTCAAGGCAGCCCCCTGGCCAAGATGCTGTTCCTCAAATGGTCAGCAGGCCAGAGAGCAGCCTGGGGAGTCCCCACATCTCCCAGGAGAGGGCGCCCTCCTGGCCCCCCTGTGGCCGCTCACTGTCATCCCACCCCATTACCACCTCCTCTCTCTCCCCCTACCTTCTCCCAAGTACTGTGGGGCCCAGGATGGGGGGGAGTATGGAGACCCCTCCTGGAGAGCAGTGGGTAGGTGAAACAGTCCCAGAGGGAGCCCCAGGGGCCCAGTGGAAAGTCTGTGAGGTGAGTGATGGACAGACTTCGGATGTTTGCGGAGTGACCCTTAGGTCAGGCATCTGGCCAGACCTCTCACTTGGCCCCTGGAGGCAGGGCATGCCTGGGGGTACACAGTCAATGGTGGGACAGCTGCACTGGGGTGAGGTGCGCCCGGAGGGGCCAATAGGAGAAGCAGGGACCTGAGAGTACCCTCCCCAGGAGCCAGTGTCCCCTGAGCAGAGGAGACAGCCCTTCCCTGAGGAGCATCACCCTTGGGTCAGCCCAGAGGCTGGGACTGAGCTGTGGACACTGTTGGGGGGAGGGCTGCACCTGCCACTCACCCAGATGAAATGTCTATACCCCCAAGGCTGAACTCTGACCCTTGGAGAACAAAAATGCCCTTCCCCCCCAATACATACCAACTCCAGGAAGATAACTCTATGGTCTTCCTTTTACAAAGGATTACTATCAACTTAGAGGCCTCAGGCCCTGGGGGGAGGGGCCGCTGCAGGAGAAACTTGAGGCTCCAGGGGAGGGCCAGGGCCAGGGAGGGGTCACAGGTAGGGCGTTGTCCTGGGACTCTACAAGGAGGGGGTTAGAGTCCCTCTGCCTCTGGTCCCTTAGCTGCCCCCCAGTGGACTGTGGGTGCCCGGGACCCACTGGGACAGCAGGGAGGGTCCTGGGCTGCCTCAGCTGTCACAGTCCTTCTCTAGAGCCTGCCCCCAACCCAGCTCCTGCTCTGGTGTCTGTGCCCAGCGCAGGGGTGACACCCTAGGCCAGTGGACACCCCTCCACCAGTCCCTGTGCCCTCTCTCTGTCACCGTGCGAAGAAGTCTCCATCCACTTTCGTAGCCGCCACGTGTCAGTATCTTCCTCCTGGGGGAGGGTAAGTTCCTGGAAGCCCCCCACACGAGGCTCAGCCGCCCTGCCCTCCCAGCCCGGCCTTAGCGCACCGACGGGCGGCTCGGCGCTTTCCCTCTCCTCCGCAATGCGGCCAGCCTCCAGGCCACCCCCGCCCCGACTGCGCCGCGGGCAGGGTCCTTGGCTGGGGTCTTCAGGGCGACCGTGACCGCTCCCTCCCTGGCCCCCAGCAGGCGGCTACCCACTTGGGGAACGTTCTGATGTCCAACTAACCTGCAGCCCACCCCACCCCACCCCCACCCCTCGGAGGCAGAAGCCGGATTCGTTCGGGTCGCGGCAGCGCGAGCCCAGGAGTGCGGCTCGCTGGACAGACGGGGAAACCGAGGCCGGGAGGGCGTGGCCAGGGGCTGGCCGCCGGCGCGCGCGGGGCTGCGGGCCCACCCGGCCCGGCCCCCACCCTCCGGCCCGGGTAGGGGCGCCGGGCGGCGGAGGCGGATGTGGGCGGGCGGCCGGGCGGGGTGCGCGGGGCGGGGACGGGGCGGGCCGGCGGCGGCGGGACGGAGCGGCAGCGGCCGGCCCAGCGCGCGCGCAGCAGGCACCGGAGGACGCGAGCCGCGGCCGCGCACGAGCACCGGGCCCGGCGCGAGGCCCGCCCGACAGCGCCCGCCGCCGGCCCGCGCCGCCCAGCCCGCCCCCGGCCCGGCCCGCGGGGATGCGGAGCGGCGGGCGCCGGAGGCCGCGGCCCGGCTAGGCCCGCGCTCGCCCGGACGCAGCGCCCGGTGAGTCCCGCCCGCCGCCGCCGGGGCCCGGATTTCCTCCCCGCGCCGCCGCTTTGTTCCCGGCCGGCGGGGCCGGGCGCGGGCCGCGCAGCCGGAATGGAGGCGCGGGAGCAGGAAGTGGCCGAGGGCGGCCTGGGCGGGGAGGGCGCGGGCCGGGCGGGCCGGGGGTGCGGGCCGCCCCGGCCTCCCTCTTGACCTTGGGGAAGCGGCCGGCGGCCGGCGAGGCCCGGGCTGGGGCGGAGGGGCGCGGCCGTGGCGAGCCGTGGCTGGGGGCGCCCCTGAGGCGGGGGCTCCCCAGGAGCGCTCTGGGCGCCCGGCCAGTGCTGCCCGGTGCACCGGAGGCGCTCAGGGGCCTTAGGAAGAGGCTGCCCCGGCCCTCGTTCAAGTTTGTGGGTGGGCCCTTGGAAGGAGACCTCATCTTCCCACAGACAAAAAGTTGTCTCATGTGCCCACAAAGGACGACTAACCCTCCTGGGCCCTGAAACTGCTTCCTCATCTGGGTGGGCTCCGGGTGCCGCCCACACCCATCCCAGAGGCTGGGGCCTGGAGGGTGGGTGGGTCTTAGTCCCCAGATTGCGGGGAGGGGGGGCATGGGCCTAGCTCTGGGGCCAGAGGGCCCCTACCTTCTCTCCGGAGGCCCTGCCTGGCTCCAGGCCACCCCTCACTGCTCTGAGCCCCTGGCCCACCGAAGGGCCAGTGCTTGGGTCCCTGCCCCTCCAGCTGAACACAGTGTACGAACCAGTGTTTTGGGGGCAGTGGAAGGGGCCCTTTCAGAGCACAGGCTATTTTTTAAGAAGTTCTGATCTCATAGGAATAGCAGTCGTGTGTTATGGTGAAGGTACTCCGTGCAGAGGCAGCAGGAAGCAGGTCCCCTGGTCCCCCTGGTCCCCCTGGTCCCGCCGGTCCTGTGCGGAGAGGCAGGCCCGGCGCTGGTTTTGGTGTGCGTGTCCGTGCAGATGCGCACCCCCGTGTGTGTGCACAGATATATTTTTACACATGGGCTCTGCACAGCTGTCTGACTCTGTCAGCAGCAGGCCCTGCTCAGGCCCCGGGTGGGGGTAGGGGACAACCGTAGGTCTTTGAGTCCAGCCCTCTGCCTCCAGGCCACGCCCACTCAAGTGTCACCATAGCCTCTGGGCCCAACATGCTGGGGCCCAGAGCTCTGTCCTGGGGGTGTCTTCCCATAACTGCCTGTGGGCCTGCTGAGCACATTGGCACTTTGTTGTGCAAAGGGTGTCTTCCCTGTCCTGGCCTCAGACAGGAGGCAGTGAGTGGGGTCTGACTGCCCTTCTCACTGCAGCCTTGGACAGTCAGTGCCTAGCCACCTTCTCTGTGCCCAGCCCCTGCCTCTGGTCAGTCAAGTGGGCTGCTGGAGGGCGGCTAGGCAGCTGCAGGAAGACCCACATCGGGATCCCACTCCAGAGGTCCTCAGGGGTCTCCGCCAGGCTTGGGGATCCCAGAGAGGAGTCTCTCAGGGCCTGCACTCTGAAGTGCCTATCTGGAGGGGTAGCAGAGGCCTGGGATGCCCAGAATGGGTGATGTGGGAACTGGGTTTTGAGGGATGCCTAGGAGTTTACCCAGCAGGGGAGCAGTGGGGCGGGCCACGTAAGATGAATGGCCAAAGTGTCTGCTCAAGAGAAGGCTGCCGGTGGGCCACGGGGCAGGCGTCAGTTCTGTGCTTGTGCAGGGCCCCCCACCCCATTTGTTGCCTACTGAGCTCAGTAATTATGGGTCTGTAACCACCCTGGACTGGGTGCTCCTTACAGACAGGACCTGTCTGAACCTCTCTTTGTCCCCAGCGCCCAGCACTGAATCTGGCAAAACCAGAGGTGCCTGGTCCACATTGGCCGAATGAATGAAAGAGATTCAGGCTGGTGGAGCACTGTGGTTTGGGAGGGGTCTGGGGTTTCTGGGGGAGGGTTCACATCACCCTGGAGGACTCCCTTTGCACCAGCCACCCACACTTCTGACCCTGCCTTCTTCCTGTTTGAGTTTCTCTCCTTTCCCAGTCTGGGGCAAGGAGGAGGGGCCCTGTGCTCTGCCTCGGGGACCCCAGCCTGTGGGTGGGAACACCGTGGGTAGGGATAACAGGCATCCTCACCAGGGCCCTGGGGAAATCAAGTGCCTTGGGCCAAAGCAGTCAGGGGCTTCCTGGAGGAGGTGTTGTTTGCTGGGTCAGCAGGTTAGGGAGGCTGGGATACACTGGGGGGGCCTCTTAGGAACAGGGCCATTTGTACAAAGGCCAGGGGAGTGGGTATGGGTACGTGAGGGGCATAGGGATCTTCCAGGGCATAGGGCCCAGGAGGGCAGGGAGACCTGGGCCCAAGGGGCAGTTCCAGTAACAGGAACTTTGTCAGGTGCTGTGGCGGGGAATACGCAAGGGACAGAAGCAGGAGCAGCGGTGGCTCTGAGGGCCAGGTGGGGCAGGTCGCTTGGGGCGGTGGACCCAGGCCTGGACCCCGGGGGCAGCCTCCTGGGTGCACTGCTGGCTAGAGGAGCGGCTCCCAGCTGGACACGGCCTCACGCTTCCCCTTGCGTTCCCCAGAGGCTGTGGGCACCGCTGGGCTCGGCGAGACCCTTCCGAGAGAGGAGCGTGAGTGACACCCAGGCACCATGAACGACGTGGCCATCGTGAAGGAGGGCTGGCTTCACAAACGAGGTCGGTGCCTCGGGGCTGGGCCTGGGGTGGGCTCCAGAGCTGGCCTGTGGGCTTCCCCTCAAGGGGCGGGGGCTGTGGCAGCCTGGGGGACTGGGAGCCTGAGCCTGCTGGAGGGGGAGGGCCTCCCAGGGCTCCTGGACTGGCCCAGGGGAGCGTCTGGGCACAGTGTCTCCCATGGTGTTCAGGGCACAGCCCGGTGGGACTCCTGGGTGGGGGATGTGAGGCCCAAGGCCTGGCGTCCAGCCGGTGACAGAGTGGCCGCCTGGCTGGGCCCTGTTGGCGGGTACAGCCTCTGCCACCTCCCTCCCCACTTTCCTGGAAGGCAGTGAGCACTTTGGGGCCTGTCCAAGGCCTGGCTCACTGGTGGCCCGGGGCACTGCCTGAGGGCTCCTGAGGGCAGGGCAGGGCAGGGCTGCTTGGCCTGGCCCTGTGCCTGTCTCAGGCCTGGGCTGCAGCCCTGGGCTGGGTCTGAGCTGCGGGGGAATCACACACTCGGGCCTGGGCATGGGGTGTGTTTGGGCTGCAGCCTGATGCCCGCCCAGCATCCCCTCTCCTCCCTCACTCAGCCCTGTGCCTAGGGAGGTGCTTGCACAGGAGTTGTTGAGATGGGAGCCGAGGCCTTGGCCCCTCACCTTCCAGCCCTGCCCTCTGCCCCTCCCCCGCCGCCCTCTGTCCCCACTGCTCAGGGACAGGCACAGGGGATGATGGGCCTTCTATCCAGGTGCCTTGGGCGAGTCACTGCCTCCTGCCCCAGGACAGGGATTGGCTAGCCAAGCCCCTCACTTCCTCATTTTTGGGTCTGGTGATCCCTTGTCCACTAGCCGCCCCTCATGCTTGCCCTGTAACAGATTGGGTAAGGGCGTCCCTCTCCCTACCCCAGGATCCCCCAGGATGTTGGGTGGGGGAACCTCAGACACTGATGGAGCAGACAGGGAGGTGTGACAGAAGTGTGTGTCATGGGACTGGGTATTGTGGGATGCATAGGAGCTCCCCAGGAGCCAGGGAGGCTGCAGCAGCTGTGGTGGGAGGCTGCACAGTGATGGAAGTGAGTCACTGGGACTCAGAGCTTGGCTCGGGGATCAAGGATGTGGTCAGCTGTGTGTTTTTAGAGCTCGCTTGGGCAGCTGCAGGGAGGACAGCGTGCTGGGCCTTGAGATGGAGGCGAGGAGGCTGCAGGGGCCTGTGGTCCGTGGGGCGCCCTCTGCCTGGCTTCTCCCAAGGCCTCTGGCACCTGCCTGCCTTCTCGACCCCCTTCCCCAAGGCTCGGCCTCTCCTTGCTCCCCGGGAGCCCCACTCCCTGTGCGGCCTCACCTACAGCCCGCAAGGTTGGGGACCCCCACCCCAGACACTGCTCCTTTCTCCCTTTGTGCCTGGCGGCAGCCCGGAAACACACTCCCACCCGGGACCAGTATCTCTTGACCTTGGCACACGTGTCGACTGGACGTTGCTTTAGGAGCTGGTGCAGGAGATGCCTGGGCCCGGGGCATCCACTGGCCAGTCAGGGTCAGGCAGCTCCTGAGAAGCCTGGGTGAACTGAGGTTGCCAGCCAGGGTGTGTGCCTTCTGAAGGGGCGGGCTCTGGGTGTCCTGCTTTGAGTGCCTTGTCATGTGACCCTCTCCAAGAGCAGGTCCGCTGCGCTCCTTGGGCCTTGGTTTCCCCATCTATATAATGGGAGTGATGGCTGGGAAGTCCTGGAGTAGAGAGTGTGGTTTATGGGGGCCTAATGGGGTGCAGCCAGGCCCCCGGCCTCCCGGCCAGCAGAGGGTGCTGTGTTCCTGCCACCCACGCTCCTATTCTTTGTGTGGCGCTGGGGGTGGGAGGGGACCTGCCTCGTGCAGGGGGGTGTCCCACTCCTCATGGCCCCCCGTCCCACCTCCCTGCCCCTGCTCACTGAGGACGACCTGTCCTCGTGGGCGCCCCTCATTCCCCCTCCCTGTTCCTGGGGACCGTGGCACCTCTGTGGGTCGGTGGCTGCCTCCCGTAAGCCCTGCCACTATCTGCGTATCTACCTTTTCCTGGGTTGTTCCCCACAAGTGTTGGGGCTCTTCCTTCGTGATGTGCTGGACATTGGGGCCACCCGGTGAGATGGCGGAGGTCACAGGGCAGGGGTGGGGGCTGGGAAATGGGTGGTTTTCAGTGAGTTGTTGAGGGAATCAGGACAACCCCCAGTGTGGGGCTAGGGGTACATGGTGCCATTAGACGTGGGGGGGTCAGGTTTTTGGGGTAGGGGAAGGTCAGGATTGTGTCCTGGCTGTGGATGGAGGCTGAGCAGATACCCTGCAGACCTGAGTTCCATTCAGCAGATAGGCAGTGCTGGCCTGGCATGGGCACATGGCCTGGCAGGGGCACATGGCCTGGCAGGGGCACACGGGCCAGGGAGCCTGGGGCAGCCCTCGTCACATTTCCTTGTCTCACCCAGCCATTCCGGAAGGATCCTCTTCCCTGCCACCCCCTCCGAGAAGCCTCCCAGGGCCGCCCTGTGTCTGCTCTTCCTCCTCCAGCTCCTGGCTGACCCTCTGCTCTGCCCACCACCTCGGGAGGGGCTGGAGGAGGACAGTGCGGCTTCACGGGGGGCAGCTCGGGGTGGACTGGGGGACCGTGGGACTGGGAGGGGTCCTGGGTCTGGCCTGGGGTCCCCACCTGAAGTGCTGGTGTGATTCTTCTCCCCCTCCCATGCTCCAGGTGCCCAGGGCCGGCCAGGGGTTCGATTCGGAACATGGGTGGGGTAGGGGAGCTGTGATGGCCTCCAGGGCCCAGGGCCTGTTCCTCCTCACTGACCTGGAGGCGAGGTGCTGCTGTGGACAAGGGCCAGCACCTGTCCTTTCTGCGTCCAGCCCAGGGCCGGGCACACGACCAGCGCCTGCCAGGTCCAGGGGCTGTGTGGGTGCTGTGGAGGGGCAGGCGGCTGGTCCCCTGCAGGGCACAGCCCCGGCCCAGGCTCCTCCCGTCCCTTGGGGAGGTGGGCGCCCACCTCTGGGGAATGACCCTGAGCCATGTTTCCGAGGGTCCTGACACCGTGTGCTTTAGGCTGGAGCAGCTTTGGGTGGGGGCTGGGCAGAGTTCAAGTTCTCGGCCTGCACTACCCTTTGGGACCCAGGAAAGCCCCTGGGCCTCAGTGTCCCGTGGTTCCAGTGGGGGGCGGGTCCCCAGGAAAGTGAGCTCAAGCTGCTAGAGGCTCGGGCTGTTGTGGGGCAGGTGGGGCCTGCAGGGACAGGTGGGCAGATGTCCCCTGTGGGGAGTGGACATCCTGAGCTCTGATGGGCAGACTCCCTGAGTGACAGGGACACTTGAGCCGTCAGTGCTGAGGGCTGGTGGGTGGAAAGTTTGCTCAAAGGTTGCTCAAACTTTTGCATTTTCCAAGATTTTGTCTATTCTGTGCATGCTCCTGACTTGAAGAACCAACCCTTCCCCAGAATGTAGGTCTGGTAGGACTTGTCCCGTGACCTCTGGTTTTGTCTCGACTCCCTCAGAAGTGGCCAGGCCCTGCTTCTCGCCACGGAGTGGGCATTACCTGCGCCCCTCGTGTGGCCCTGGGATGCAGAGATGGTGGTTCCACATTGCTAACACGCGACTCCATGCCGCCCTGGTCCCGGGGTCCCTGAGGGGGTGGGGTGCAGCCGGCCCCCTGGTGGAGGAGGCAGCGGTTTGCTGAGGACACACCAGGGGAAAAGGCCTGTGAGGGCCTGTTTAACCCACTTGTGAGTGCGAGCTGCCCCGATGTGAGGGGAGGCCCCGATGCGGCCTGTCCCTGACCCAGCGAGGGCTCTGCGGGGTGCCAAGCAGGGGGAGCCCAGGTCCCATCTAAGTCCCACCCTTGTGGCTGAGGCTTCGGCTGGCAGTCCCCTCGGTTCGCTGGGGCAGCCCGTGAAGTGCCCCCGTCTGCAGGGGCCAGAACTGCCCTGGGGCAGGTGCATGTGGGGCAGTCAGGCCCCCGGTGGGAGCAGGTGCTGGGCCTCTGCCCAAAGCGTGGTGCCAGGGAGGGCAGTGCCCGTCCCAGAGGCGGGTTCTGGGGCCTGCTGGGTGGCGCGTGGCGCGTGGCTGTGGCCGTGCGTGGCCACTCTGTGGCTGGGGGTGGGGTGGGGCGGGGCAGGACCGGCGGCCTGTGTGGGGCTGTTTCCTGTTTTGTGTGTGTTGAGTTCTCCCTTCAAAACAAACAACAAAAGGGGAAGCTCAGGCCTCTCACAGGGGCTGGGGTTGGAGGGACCCTGCCCACCCCGGCCCTGGTCCCGGGCTCCTGCCTGCTGGCCCCCAGCGGGTTGTTTCTGGCTCCTTCCTGGGTGCCGGGTGCCCTCGGGCACGGCTGCCTGCACGCGGCCAGACCCGATCGGGGCCCGGGAGGGGAGGGCCCAGGGCTGGGCGATGCCCAGCCACCTGGGCAGCAGAGAGCACACGTGCAGAGTGGAGCTGAGGCCTAGGCCACAGAGCTGGTGTGCTGTCCTGGCCGGTGCCCCGACCCCACCACCAGCGCTCGAGCCCGGCCGGTTGCGTCAGGCTGGTTCCTAGAAGTGCTGTGAGGGCGAGGGCAGGGAGCTGGCTCGGTCCCCCTGGCGTCCCCTCTGCCTGGCACACCCAGCCAGGCCTGGGGCCAGCGCCCTTCCCAAGAGCCCGCCTGTAACTGGAGCCTCTGGCTGTCTACGTGCCCACAGCGGGCACAGGCTGCCGCCTCCTCTCACACGCTGTGCCCACCCCAGCCCAGCCCAGCCCCGTGGCCCCACCAGAAGGCCCCCAGGCAGGCTGGCAGAGGGCTCTCGGGCTGCAGGCTGGGCGGGGCCAGCTCCTGGGGTACACCCCCCAGCTCCTCACTCACCGCCTTCCCCCCTTGGAGGCAGCTCTGGAATGAGAACAGCAGGCCCCCAGCTCAGGAAGCACTGGTGGACGGGGGCTCTGGCGAGGTGCCCAGGTGGCCTGGTCTGCAGCCCCTCCGGCATCTGCCCGGGGTCCCACCTGCCCCCAGGCCTCGGCTGCTAGCCCCATCAGCAGTGGGGGTCTCTGGGGCACTGAAGGATGCCTTTGGTGGGATCCTGGGGCAGAGACCCACAGAGGGGAGCCCTCTGGCTGCCAAAGGGCTGGGGTGCATGGGCAGCAGACCCGGTGGAGGGCACACGGCCAGCCTGAATTTGGAGCATGAGGGACGAGGCCAGGGTGGGTGTGGCCAGGGACATGCAGTAAATAGAAGGTGTGGTCGCTGGATGGAAGTTCTCTGGAGGACATGGGCACCTCCATACCCCACCCCCATGCAGGGGTTGCTTTTTCCTGGGGGTGTCCAGGATGAAGGCCCATGCCCGAGACAGTGCTGGGATCTCTTAGGTGCAGGGGTGTGGTTCCACCTGCGGGGGGGGGGGGGGAGTGTGGGACTCGAACTTGTCCCTCTCCTGGCAGCTGGAGCCCTGGGAGGAGCCGGCCAAGCCCTCCTGCTGTCCGTTCCCCGGCGTGTCCTCTGGGAGGGCTCCGGGGCTACCTGGCGTGACCTGGCCCTCCGCTCCTGTCCTCTCTGCACGCTCCTCCCTTGTCGTGTTGGCCGTGCGTGCCCTGCCCCCGTGCGGCACCCTTGGCAGGCTCCGTCCTGAGGGTTCGCCCGGCCCACCTCCAGGGCTTGTGCTGGGCCATCTGTGGCCTAAAACCCTGCTGGAGGGATGGGGACATGGGGACCCCGCCTGGGCACAGGCAGAGGGGCCCCCAGAGGTGACCCCTGCCCGGTGGGCGGCGATGGATGGGCTGCTGTCAGCGAGGCCATTTGCTCGCTGTGCCTGGGAAAGTAAATGGGTCCCCAGCAGCTGTCGGCCGATGGCTGTGTCGTCGGCAGGGGACCGCGTGGCCGCCGCTGTCAGCTGGCGGCGCTCCCCGGGCTTGCTGGGGCTCGCTTGGCTGTGGAGAAACAGCTCGGCGCCGCCTGGCGCCCTGCCAGCGCCACCAGCACTGCGGCAAAGTGTTTACCCAGCAGTTTCCCCGAGAACTGGGGACTTGCAGAGACCGTTCACGGAGCGCAGGGCGTGGCAGCTGGGTGCCGTGGCCCAGGTGCCATCTGCCATGTGCCAGGGAGCCTGAGGATGGCAGGTTGCCCCCCAGGCTGCTCACGGTGCCCAGTCCCGGCCCAGGACACGTGGCTGTCTTATCCCCAAGCCCTGGCTGTGTGGCCGGCGGGGGGTGATGTTGGTTGTGGCTGGTCAGGGCCCCTCCCTCAGGAGTCCTGTGACCCCTTGGGATGGAGCTGGCTCTCAGGAGAGTGGACAGGACCCCTGGTGGAAGACACTTGGGGACACGGAGACAACTGAGAGCTGAGGCACCCAGGGAAGCAGGAGGGGGTGGGGCATCTCTGGCCAAGCTGCATGCCCCCTGCCCACCCAGGGCAGCTGCCTCCTGGGACCTGGAGTCTCCCCTGGGGGTTGGCTGCCTGGAGATTCAGGTTCAGGGGGCACAGTTTCCACCGGGCAGGATGAGGCTAAGCTTCTGAGAGAACCCCAAGAGGGACTGAGCTGTTGCCCGTCCTGCCCACCTGCCACCCGGCTGGCAGTTCCTCGGGGTGGGTGGGTACCAGAGCCCCAGCCCTGCTCAGTCCCAGGTCGGCTGGCCATGGCTCCTGCTTCCTGCCAGTTGGCATGGGGTCCTCCCGGCTGGGGAGCTGAGCTACTGGTGATGGCTGTGCCGAGACCATGTGGGCTGCAGGGCCCCGTCCTAAGTGTTTGCCTGGGGTGGGTGGGGGCCTTTCCTGTGTCCTGGGCTGAGTATTGGGTGTGAGTGGCAGGGATGCAGCAGATGTGCCCTGTGCCCGGGTGTTGGCCAGTTCCTGCTGCCCACCAGCGGGCCTGGAGATCACCCTGGTTGTGGGCAGATGTGTGGCTCTGGGGGAGCCGTGGGGACCCTGTTTAGGGAGCAGTGTCCTGAGGGCATACTTGGGTTTCCATTTGTTACCTGCCTCCCACGGCCAGCACCTCCAGGTGTGCCCGCCCCCAGGACCTCAGGACAGGTGCGGGCCCTCTGGCATCCTGTGGTGAGGACGGAGATGGCTGGGCACAGGGTGGCTGCCGCCTCCACCGCCCGTCTGTGTCCCTCTGTCCCTGTCTGGGCTGCCCTCATTCAGATGCAGGCCACGGCCCAGCCACAGCTGGCGTTCTAGCCGCTGAGTGCCCGCCTCCCTGCACCTCCCCAGGCGGGCATCCCGACACTGAAGCAAGGGGTCTGTGTCCCGGAGCCTGGCCCAGCCTCCCCAGGTTCCTGCTCCTCCTGCAGGGGTCTGCTGGGGCTGCACGGGTGAGGGGCGGAGCCAGGCCACCTTCCCTGGCTGGAGCCCTCCCCGGGTGTCACCTGTTCTGGGCTCAGCCGGGTGGGGACAGTGTGGGCAGCCTTGGCTCCCCTTCGGGGCCTGGGGGCTGGCAGAGGGCCTGGCAGGCTCAGGGTCCACCTCCTGGGCCCCTCCCCCTGGCTCAGCCTGGTTGGTACCCTCCCCTCAGCCTCTTCCTGTGGGGTCGCTCCCTTGGCCCCCCCAGCTCCAGGTTCCAGAACCTTCCCAGCCCTGGGTGCAGCTGGGGCGTATCCTGGGTGCCCCGTGACTCAGGCACCCCTGTTCCAGAGGGTCCCACTGTGGGGAAGCCGAGGCCCAGCCCGGTGTGCGTGGGTGACACGTGCTGACCACACGAGCGAGTCTGGCGCTGGAGGCTGTGCTGGGCACGGTGGGGCTGGCACAGTTGGTGCAGCAAGATGGATTTTCGGGCTGCTCGGGTGAGGCGCTCCTCGCTCTCCCCGCTCAGTTAGCGTCCTGGGGAGCGGCAGCTGGCGGGATGGGAGGCACTCCATCAGGGGCCGACAGCTCCAGACTGGCGCGCAGGCGGGTGGGAGCCAGCAGCGGGCGGCCGCGCGGCATGGGCGGTGGCGCACCCCGCGCCCGCTCTGCTTGCTGCCCACCCGAGGCACTGGTGGGACGGGCCTGGGAGCTGGTGGCACCGCGTGGGCCTGGTGTGGGGGACTGTCCCCAGGGGCTCAGAGGACCAGATGGGCTGGACACTGCTAAAGGCTGTTGCGGTGGGCAGGGGGCAGGCCCACAGTGTCTGGGCCTGGCTGGAGCCCCCATCTCCCCAGCAGCCCCCAGCAGCCCAGGGTCAGGGAGAGGGAGGCACTTGACTGGAAGGAAGGTCCAGGCAGTGGGGCTGGGGAGGAGGGCTGCACCGATGGCGGCTGGTCCCAGCGAGCGGGTCTTTGCTCTGTCTGGGGCTCAGCATGGCCCAGAGCTTGGGGACCCCAGGCCTCTCCCCGCCCATTGGCTTCTCTGAGGAGCGGCTGCCTAATTAGTAAGTTCTCCGCTGTTGTTCAAACTCCTTGCTCGGCAAAATGTAAATGAAACATTTTTTCTGGGTGTCAGTATGAAAAATGACAGTCCCTGGGACTCACAGAGGACATCTGCTCGCTTCTGTGTGAGCGCTGTTTACGGCTGATGTCGCAAAACTGGGGGAGCTTTGCATGTACCTGGGTGACCCGTGGATGGGATGTGGGGGTCCAGGGCTAAGTCTCAGCCTAAGGGCCACACGGCGGCCTCTGGGTCTGGCTCCCCTGCGGTGCCCACATGGTGCTCTGGGTCCCTGGATGGTGAGTGTCATACGGGTGGTGGGGGACTCTGTCCTGCGTGCCCAGCCAGAGGGTGTTGTCATGGATGCCAGGCTTCACCCCCTGGGCCAGGGCTCAGCCATGGGGATCTGCCCACTTGCCACTGTCACCACAGCAACTGTATCAGGGACAAAAGGCCAGACCCAGGGCGGGCATGGGGGGTTCTTGGCCCTGCAGTCACCGGCAGGTAGCTGTATTTAGTGCTTGAGCTGTTGCTGGTGCCTCCTGGGATACACTGGCTCGGTGCCGCCTCCTCTAGGAAGGCCCTCTGGATTGGGCCAGCCTCCTGTCAGTCATTTCCTTTCCCCCACGTCCAGGTGCCCACCTGGCCCCTTTCCAACACAAGTGAGGGTGGGTTTCTCCTGCCGTCTTTGTGGGAGTTGGGGTCAGTGCTCGCACATGTTAGGGTCCTGGTGCCTCTGGCCTGCACAGCCAGCTGCCCAGCCCTCATAGCCTGTGTCCTCAGGGGAGTACATCAAGACCTGGCGGCCCCGCTACTTCCTGCTCAAGAACGACGGCACCTTCATTGGCTACAAGGAGCGGCCACAGGACCTGGAGCAGCGGGAGTCGCCCCTCAACAACTTCTCCGTGGCACGTACGTGCCCGCGCCGCCCCCGGGGGCCTGGGCTTGGGCCGCCCTGGCTGGCAGCAGCCCCAGAGCTGACATCCCTCGGGCTCCCGTGTCTGGGGCTGGCAGCTTCCAGGGGGCAGGCTGGACAGTGCCGGCCTGGAGTCGCCGCGGGGACCCGGCCTTGGCCAGCTCTGCTGGCGTTCTCTGTGCCAGGTTCCATGGCTCGCGGCCCTGGAGCTGCCCGGTGCTCCTGCCCTGGAGGCCAGGCCTGGCCGAGGGTGCACAGTCCCGTCTGGGGACCAGAGGGGCCCGCTGTGGGGGCCGGACGGGTGTACGAGGAGCACCCGGCTCCCGGGGGCCTGTGGCTGCCCCTCAGAGGTTGTCAGAGGCCCCAGCCCTGGGCTGAGACATTTCCGTCAGCCCTCAGCTTCGGTCGGGGAAGAGGGCACAGCTGGGTGAACTGGCCCTTCCTCTAAACCGCTGCTGTGGCCTCATTCCGTACCTGGGGTGGGGGGAGGTGGCAGAGGATGGCAGGTGTAACCCTCCCCACGGGGCTAGGGGGGCCAGGGGGTGGGAGGCTGAGCCAGGTGGGCCCTGGATCCCGCCCCTTTCCTGCGCTCTGCCCAGGGGTGGCCACAGCAGCCGGTGGGTGGGAACGACGGGCTCATTAACCAAGCCTCAACGTTGATCGGTCTTGGGCTGCTGGCTGGGGTGTGGGGTGCAGTGCCCACTGTGGGGTCCCAGATTCACCCCAGGTTCCTTCTGCATACAACCCCACCCTCTGGCCAGCTCTGCCTTCCCTGCCATTCAGCCCACAGCCTTGCTGGACCCCAGGTCCTGGCCCAGGGTCTCAGGAGGGCATAGAACAGGTGGGCTGTCCCCAGGCTGATGGGAAGGACCCTGGGCTCCCTGCCTGCAGGTAGGCTGAGGTGGGGCCATCCTGGCACCTTGGCTGCCCTGCACCTACTGCAGGGGCAGGGGGCATGCCAGGGGGGGCAGAGCTGCTGCCTAGCAAGTCTCCCCAGAGGGTAGAGTAGGGGGTCCAAGTGAGGGGAGACCCAGGAGGCAGACACCCCATCCTGGCATCCTCACGGCTGAGCAGAGGAGCCGTGGGGGTCAGGGCTTCAAAAGGAAGCTTGACCGGGGTGGGGGCCTCCCTGCTGGGGGATGAGACCCCTTGGGAGTGCTCCCCAGGCCGAGTGCATGGGGATGAGGGGGTTCTCTGGAGGCACACAGGAGGTGGGCACCAGCCAGAGGGGCTGCCTGAGCTGTGGGTGGGACGGGCGCTCCGGCCCAGGAGCAGAGTACACAGGCCAGGAGGTGGTGGTGGCGGTCCTGGGACCTGTGACCAGGGGCTTTTCTTGGGGATAGATTCAGGTATGGGGGACAAGAACCAGGCCCTGGGTTGGGTGTCAGGTGCTTGGGTCCCAGGAGCACCTGGTGGTCTCCAACAGGGAGTGGGAGGTGGGTGTGTAGAGAGGAGGCCTGTTATCCCTGCCTCATGATGCCATAGGCCACCCTCCATACAGACCGCTCCTCCCTGTGCTTGGCGGAGCCCTTCTGTTGCCGGGGACCAGAGGCTGGGATGTCAGAAGCCCCTGCACTGGCCCCACGCCCCTCCTGCCTCACAGGCTGAGCAGAATCTGGCCTAGGAGCCCTCAGCGCCCCCACACTCATTCACGCCCGTCTCGGGCCTGATACATTCCCACAGTTCTGCAGCAGCAGATGTGCCTGTGCTCCAGGTGTGTGCCTGATCCTGGTGTGTGCACTGTGCAGGTGTGCCTGTGCTCCAGGTGTGCATGTGACCCGGTATGTGTGTGCTCCAGGTGTGCGTGTGACCCGGTATGTGTGCCTGTGCTCCAGGTGTGCATGTGACCCGGTATGTGTGTGCTCCAGGTGTGTGCGTGACCCGGTATGTGTGCCTGTGCTCCAGGTGTGCGTGTGACCCGGTATGTGTGTGCTCCAGGTGTGTGTGTGAACCGGTATGTGTGTGCTGCAGGTGTGCGCGTGACCCGGTATGTGTGCCTGTGCTCCAGGTGTGCGCGTGACCTGGTATGTGTGCCTGTGCTCCAGGTGTGCGTGTGACCCCAGGTGTGCGTGTGACCCGGTATGTGTGCGCTCCAGGTGTGCGTGTGACCCGGTATGTGTGCGCTCCAGGTGTGTGTTTATTCCCAGGCCTGCCAGCCTGCCTGTCCTGTGTGAGCCCAGACTCCCCCCCGATGGTGGGGTTGAATCAGTGGGGTGGGTCGTGTCCTCTAGCCACCTCTGGGACAGGCAGCCTCCACCCTGGGATTGGCCCTGAGAGGAGAGGGGCATTGGGGCTGGCAGTGGACAAGCTGCTTTCCTGTGAGGCCCCATCCGCGGCCCCTCCCTGGGACCCTATACGCCTCCCCCTCTGGCCAGTCAAGGGCTGTGGCCTGGCAGGCAGTGGGGGCTCGGACTGAGGAGGGGCTGCAGGAGAGCTGATGTTGTGGGGTTGGCTCACCAAGCTGACGCCTGGAGGGCGGCCCCAGAGCACAGTGTTGGAGTGGGAACAGGGGCCCCAGCCCTGGTGCAAGAAGGGAAACAGGCATGGAGAGGGGATGGGGTAGGCCCCCAGGACCAGCGGCGAGGTCTAGGTGTGTGTCCAGGGTGCTCACCTGCGCCCCATCCCCAGAATGCCAGCTGATGAAGACGGAGCGGCCCCGGCCCAACACCTTCATCATCCGATGCCTGCAGTGGACCACGGTCATCGAGCGCACCTTCCACGTCGAGACGCCCGAGGAGCGGTATGCAGTGGGCGCCCGGGGCGGGCCGGTGCCAGTGCCCACTGCTCCCGTCCCCTGGGGGGAGGGGTGCAGTCCTGTGGGGCTGGGTCTCGGTGCCGGAGTCCTGGACGCTGAGCGGGTGTGACTGGCCCAGGTCTCGGGGGTGAGCCCTGGGCCTGGGCAGGGCTAGAGACCTCGCCTAACCTCTCTGCAGGGAGGAGTGGGCGACGGCCATCCAGACGGTGGCCGATGGACTCAAGAGGCAGGAGGAGGAGATGATGGACTTCCGATCGGGCTCGCCCAGTGACAACTCCGGGGCCGAGGAGATGGAGGTGGCCCTGGCCAGGCCGAAGCACCGTGTGGTGAGCCCATCCCCCACCTCTGCAGGGCCTGGGGAGCCTCAGTGCTCTGGGACCCCACTCCTTCCGTCTTTCCCCCGAGTCCTTCCCTGTGGACAGTACAGTCTGACCATCAGAAGCCCTGTGTCAGAAGTGAGATGTGGACACGGGCTCCATCCCCCCAAACCCCAGCGCTCTGAGTTGGGGTGCAGAGCCCCTCGTCCCACGAGCCCTGGACTGCCACCTGTGCCAGCCCTGAGGTCAGCCGTGGTGGCTCCAGGCCCGGCACCCTGAGTCCCTGACTCCATCCACTACCCCTCAGACCATGAACGAGTTTGAATACCTGAAGCTGCTGGGCAAAGGTACCTTCGGGAAGGTGATCCTGGTGAAGGAGAAGGCCACAGGCCGCTACTACGCCATGAAGATCCTCAAGAAGGAGGTCATCGTGGCCAAGGTTGGTGCAGCAGGGGCAGGGCGGGCTGCGGCCGGGCGGGCTGGTGCTCACCTGCTTGTCTTCCAGGACGAGGTGGCACACACGCTCACAGAGAACCGTGTCCTCCAGAACTCCCGGCACCCCTTCCTGACGGTGAGTGGCCCCCGAGGTCGCCTGGGCCCAGGGCAGAACCAGGCCCTTCTGTGGCCCTCGTGCTCCTGGGAAGCAGCGCTGGGCCAGGCAGACACTCCCCAGCCTGTCTGAGGATGGACTTCCTGGGCTCCAGCACTCAGGCAGCAGTGGGCAGGTCTCTGAGGGGTCCGGGTGGAGGGGCTGACGCAGGCCCGCGGGCTGTGCTTGCTGCCCCCAGTGTACAGAAGGGAGCAAGTGACCTGGGGCTTCCCTTTGACCTCCGGCTCCAGGGGTTTAAGCCAGGGGTGCCTGTCCAGGGGGTGCTTGGTCCAGGAGGAGTTTATGGGAAATCCTTAGCCTTTAGAGCAACAAGGACTCAGCTAGTGTTGGGTTCCCAGGCCAGGCCAGCTCCTGGAAGGCATGGGTGGCCCTGCTCTCTGCAGGGCCAGGCCTTGGGCCCCGGGCTGCTGGCCCAGGGTCTAGCTGGGCCCCAGGCATGCACACAGCTTGCGGACCCGTCCCCCGGAGCCCCCAGGCCCCGCACCCTGTGCTCAGTGCTGCTGCTCTCTCTGCACATTCTGGGAGCCGCTGGGCTGCAGCCACTAACCAGGGTCAGGGCAGCATTTGTGGGCAGGAGTTGGACAGCGGGCCCACCGTTCTCAAGTAAGCCCGCCTGTGGTTCGAGCTGGGAAGCCTGTGGGCAGCCGTGCTGTCCTCCTCTTGTCCAGGGCCGAGGCCGGCCTGTCGGGGAGCCTCGCACCCAGTGGCATCCCTGCCTGGCTCTGAGGCCGTGGTCCCAGCTTGTGTTCCTTGCAGGCCCTGAAGTACTCCTTCCAGACGCACGACCGTCTCTGCTTCGTCATGGAGTACGCCAATGGCGGCGAGGTAGGGCTGCCTGGTGGGGGTGACCCTCTGACCCCCGCCCACCCCGAGGCCCTCCCCCCTGAGTTCGGGTCTCAGGCCTGTCCGCACCCTCTGCCCTCTGCCCTCGGCCCTCGGCCCCTGGCGGCGGAGGCTCAGGCTCCCTGTCCCGCAGCTGTTCTTCCACCTGTCCCGGGAGCGGGTGTTCCCTGAGGACCGGGCCCGCTTCTATGGCGCCGAGATCGTGTCCGCCCTGGACTACCTGCACTCGGAGAAGAACGTGGTCTACCGCGACCTGAAGGTGGGCGGGCGCGGGGCGGGGCCAGCGCAGACAGGGGCGGGGCCTGGGCTGGGGCGGGGCTAGCGCAGGTAGGGGCGGGGCCAGGGCTGGGAGCCCTGCCTGCTGACCGAGGCCCCGCCCCCGTAGCTGGAGAACCTGATGCTGGACAAGGACGGGCACATCAAGATCACGGACTTCGGGCTGTGCAAGGAGGGCATCAAGGACGGGGCCACCATGAAGACCTTCTGTGGGACCCCGGAGTACCTGGCCCCAGAGGTGTGCGTCTGCCGCCCGCCCCGAGTCCCCCAGCCCCCGGTCCCGGCGGCCTGTGACCGTGCTGCGTCCCCCAGGTGCTGGAGGACAATGACTACGGCCGCGCGGTGGACTGGTGGGGGCTGGGCGTCGTCATGTACGAGATGATGTGCGGCCGGCTGCCCTTCTACAACCAGGACCACGAGAAGCTCTTCGAGCTCATCCTCATGGAGGAGATCCGCTTCCCGCGCACGCTCAGCCCGGAAGCCAAGGCCCTGCTGTCCGGGCTGCTCAAGAAGGACCCCAAGCAGAGGTGAGCTGCCTCGCTGCCCCCAGGGCGCCTGCCCGGCAGCTTCCCAGGCCGCCCTGGGTACCAGCACTGGTCCATTAAGAGGGGCCAGGCAAGCTGGGGCAGGACGGGTCCCTGGACCCCAATCTTGTGGGCCCTCACACCTGCTTGGGAAGACCCCACCCCACCAGCAGCCCTGCCCACCCAGCGTTCTGTACCTGCTGGGACTTGGGTGTGTCCCCACCACCCTGGGCCACACTGTCCATGCACCGCCCTCACGGCCCTGGGACACACTGTCCAGTGCTGTGAGGCAGCCCAGCCTTACCCAGCAGAAGCAGGGCCGGGCGGATGGCAGTGTCATCACCGTGGCCTCTGTCCTCCACAGGCTTGGAGGGGGCTCCGAGGATGCCAAGGAGATCATGCAGCACCGCTTCTTTGCCAGCATCGTGTGGCAAGACGTGTATGAGAAAAAGGTGCTCACACCCACCACCTGCTCGCCCAGCACTGGATGCCCACACACACCTGTACCTGCTCACCCTGCCCCGCACACCCACACACACCTGTACCTGCTCACCCTGCCCCACACACACCTGCTCACCCTGCCCCACACACCCACACACACCTGTACCTGCTCACACCCACCTCTTGCTCACCCAGCACTGGATGCCCACACACACACCTGTACCTGCTCACCCTGCCCCCCACACCCACACACACCTGTACCTGCTCACATCCACCTCTTGCTCACCCAGCACTGGATGCCCACACACACCTGTACCTGCTCACCCTGCCCTCCACACCCACACACACCTGTACCTGCTCACACCCACCACTTGCTCACCCAGCACTGGATGCCCACACACACACCTGTACCTGCTCACCCTGCCCCACACACCCACACACACCTGTACCTGCTCACACCCACCACCTGCTCACGCACTCACACACATACACCCCAACCACACGCTCATGCCCACTCACCAACTTGCATACTCACCCACATGTTCACATCCACCTGCCCACATGCACATGCCACCACACCCACGTGCTCACAGCCTCTCCCTCCCCGGGGCTCGAGGCTGCATCTGTTTCCTCCTGACCACTATGCAAGGCCCTCCCTCGTTCCTCCTGGGAGAAGCTGTGTGTGTGGTCTCCTGAGAGTGACACCCTGTCACCTTGGGGCACTGGGGTTCCCTTCCCTGGTTCTGCCTGCTGAAGGCTGGCGGTGGAGTTGGGGTACCGCCCTGTTGTCCCAGCTCCATCCATCGTCTGACCTCAGTCCTTCACGCTGCAGGGAAAAGCCCAGGTCTGCCCTCTGGGCCTCGGGATGGGCAACCCCTGCCCGTCTAGCTCGTGAGGGAGGCCTTCCAGGAGCGAGTCAGCTGCGTCCCACGCCCATCCCTCTGCCTGTCACCCTCGGGGAACCCCAGGAGCCCCAGGCCCTGGTCCAGGCAGGTGTGGCCCCACCAGCTCAGGGAGGCTGTACCTGGGTGTGCTGGTGCCCTGTCACCGAGCCTGCTCCTGCTGTTTCCAGGCCATCCCTCCCCTGCGGACCCCTCGCAGGCCACCCCTGGCCGGCTGGGCCTCTGCCCTCCCTGTGAGAAGGGCACCCTCACCCCACCCACTCTGGTCCAGGCTCCAGCCCCAAGGCCTTACACCTGGCCCTGCCCAGCCTTGACCCAAGACCCTGCTAGCTCCTGAGGGCCAGCCCAGGCCAGGTCTGGGGATCGGGTGGGGGGGTTACCTGTAGCACCCTCTCCCTGTGCTTGTCCCTGTACAGTTGCTCTGGGTCATGGGTCACGGTGAGTCTTCTCCTGTCTGCGGCCAGGCTCGGCAAGGCCACACTGTGGCCCTTGAGCCGTGTGTGAGGCTGAGCAGCCCCACACTCAACCCCTTCCCCACCCACACACGGGTGTCCTGCAGGGCCAGGCCCAGAGCCAGCACGGACAGGAGGCCCTGGCCCCATCCTCGTCTCCTGGGTGGGAGGTTGCAGGGAGGCCCCTGGAGCCCATGTGGTTTGGGGGCATGTCAGGGCAGGGCTTAGGTAGAGCAGTCCCCCTCATGCCCCAGGGCACCTGGCTGGGCTGGTGTGGGTGGGCATGAGCACAGCCAGCTGCTCTTTGGGCCCCTCCCAGGACTGGGGAGGCACGGCTGCCCCTCCGGCCCACCATGCAGGAATGCCACTCACCAGCCCCGGTGGGTTGAGGGACCGTGGGGCGGTGGCTGTCCCCCTATCATGCACCATCAGGGGAAGCCCCCAGCAGCTGGGCTGAGTGGGTCAGTCAGGAAAGGTGAGCGGCACCTGGGGGGAGCCGTGCTGCACACCTCGTTCATGGTGCCCTCCCTCTCTGTCCCCTTCCCAGTTTATAAGGAAAATAAGTTAGGAAAAAGGAAAATGGACTTGTCTCTTCTGCCTGGGTGTTTGTGTGGAGGGGGTAGGGCTGTAGAGCTGAGCCGCACTACCTCCTGTCACCTGCAGGGGCTCGCCCTGCCCTTGGTGGAGGGGCCGTCCTGGGCCTAGACTACCACCCTCACAGCCGTCTCCGTCCCAGAGCTCTGTCTGTGGGTGGGTGACAGCTTACCCCACCTGGAGACAGTGCAGTGGGCTCAGCTCCCTGGGGTGGCGGTTGGGAGGGTGCGCTGGGCGGGCAGAACCAGTCTGTAACCTGCCCACCCCTGCCCTGCAGCTCATTCCGCCCTTCAAGCCCCAGGTCACGTCGGAGACAGACACTAGGTATTTTGATGAGGAGTTCACAGCCCAGATGATCACCATCACGCCGCCGGACCAAGGTGAGGGGGCCAGCCACCTGCGACTCCCCCCTCCAAACAGAACCCAGGCTGCCCTGCCGGGAGGTCTGCAGTGTTTAGCTGTGATCAGAAAGGTCCCCTTAGGAGGGTATTGATCAGTGTGGGAGGGCCATCGTCCCCTACCCCCAGCACTGGAGGGTCGGGATCACCGAGTCCAGAGCCTTCAGGGACCTGCCTCAGTTTCCCTGAACTCGGCCCTGGGTCTGAGCCCTGTCTCCTGCCTGCCCACAGATGACAACATGGAGTGTGGGGACAGCGAGCGGAGACCCCACTTCCCCCAGTTCTCCTACTCGGCCAGCGGCACGGCCTGAGGAGGGCCAGCCCGGCGTGCTGGCAGATGCCATGCGGGGGCCACACGCCTAGACGCGGCTCTGGACTGGGAGGAAGCCGCGCCGACGACCTGTGTGAATGTGTTCTTTCTGGGTGTCTGGAGGAGCCGCACTGCTCCGAGCGCGGGAAGACGTTCATGCTGTGGGGCAGGGCTGTCCTGCAGTTTTTCTTAATTTATTTCATCCGGTCTCCAGACGCGGCCTCTGCTTTCAGACAAGTGCTGAGGACATCTGCGGCCGCGCGCACCTGGGGGTCCAGCGGGGCCCTGCCCTCAGCCCATCCCTCGCGTCAGCTGTCCTTGGCTGTCACCTGTCCCTGCCCAGCTTGGAGGCACCAGAAGCAACCCGGTTGTGGCGTGCTGGCCTGGCCCCCTCTCCCTCAGGTGGGGGCCAATGGCAGCCCTGGCGCCACAGCCCTTGGACAGTGGCCCCGAGGTGGGCCGGGGCTGGCTATGGTCCACCCAGGACAGGAGCAGGTTGAAGCTGCTGTGTGTCGTGCTGTTTGTGTGCATTGGGGGTTCACCTTAGACAAGAAAGCCCTCCCCCCAACCCCCCCACCCTGCCCTCCCTTCGGGACTCGCCCGATGGCTTCCCCTGTAGCACCTGTCCACCTGTCCTTCATAGAAGCTTCACGGCCCCGCGCCCCGCCCGACGCCCTGGAGGGCGCCACCGCACCCTCGGCAGCCCCAGCCAGACACTGCGCTGCACCATGGCGGTTTTTTACATTCAACTTTAGTATTTTTACTATTATGAGAATTTCCCTCCAAATTCCTCAATAAAAATGGCTTTTCAACTTTGTGGCTTGTTTTGCTTGTGGGGAGCACCCCTTCCTGGCCCTGAGACCCCAGGACAGCTGAGGGACGATCTCTCCTTCCAGCTCCCACAGGTTTTGTTGGAGGGAGGGTGCCCTGGCTGTCCATCCCTACTAGCTTCGCCCCACCCCATGCCCAGGGGCCATCTGACCACCAGGAAGGAGCCTGCAGGGCCCAGAGGTCATGTGGGGCTGAGGGTGTCCTGCTCCCCCCATCCCCAGCAGAGAAGCCCAGCAGGATGTACTGTGGGCGCCACCTGGTGGCAAGGAGAGGAGCCAGCCACCCAGGGCCGAATCCTTGGGTCAGGGTTTGGCAAGGCTGAGGGAGGGCCTGGCTCATCTCAAGTGGGTGCCACCTGCAGGGGCGGCCAAGATGCCCCAACGTGTACAGGCCTGGCACCTGTCTCCCCTGACTCCATGGTGTCCCTGGGTTGGGGACAACCCAGCCTGGGGTGCAGCCCCAGTCCCCGGGGGAGGGGGGTCCTCTCGCTTGGTCTGACAGGCAGTGAGCTGCACCACAGCAGTGACAATGTACAGGTTTTTTTTCCTTATTGATATTTTTTTGTTTTAGAGAGAGAGGAAATAAGAGGAAGAGAGAGAGAGAAACACTGATGAGGAAGAACATCAACTGGCCACCTCCTGCATGCCCCCACTAGGGATCGGGCCCACAACCCGGGCATGTGCCCTGACCTGGAACTGAACCGGCGACCTCTTGGTGCAGGGTCAACACTCAACCACTGGGCCCCACAACCCAGGCACAACGTACAGATTTTTAAAGCCTCAAACAGCCAATGTCGCACACAGCTTCGGGGGTTAAGACCCAGGTTTTGGATAACCCCGTGTCAGACAGGGCCCTGTGCGCCTGTGGACAACAGCGGGATCCTCAGCAATGAACGCAGACCATCTGCTCCAGCAACCCCACTTCTGGGCACACCCCTGAACAACTGGAAGCAGGGACTCCGAGAAACACCTGCACCCCAACGTCCACAGCAGCATCAGTCACAGCAGCTGAGGTGTGGGTGCACCCCGTGTCCACAATGAGGATGGATAAGGCAGACTGCGGCCCAGCCACAGCACGCAGTCACTCAGCCTCAAGGACAGATGTGCCGCCCTGCGCAGTGTGCTCCGTGGTTAGCGCATCGGCCTGCAGACCAAAGCCCTGCGCAGTGTGCTCCGTGGTTAGCGCATCGGCCTGCAGACCAAAGGGTTGCAAGTTCGGTCACAGTCAAGGGCATGTACCTGGGTTGCAGGTTTGATCCCAAGCCCCAGTTGGTGTCGTGTAGGAGAGAACCAATGGATGTGTCTCTCACATTGATGTTTGGCTCCCCCCCTTCCACTCTTATCTGAAAATCAACAGAAAACATCCTTGAGTGAGGATGAGCAACAAAGGACGGACACGCTGCTACCTGCCACCCACGGGTGGACCTTGAGGACACGCTGCCACCTGCCACCCACGGGTAGACCTCGAGGACATGCTGCCACCTGCCACCCACGGGTGGACCTCGAGGACATGCTGCCACCTGCCACCCACGGGTAGACCTCAAGGACACGCTGCCACATGCCACACACGGGTGGACCTCGAGGACATGCTGCCACCTGCCACACACGGGTGGACCTCGAGGACACGCTGCCACCTGCCACCCACGGGTGGATGAGGACACGCTGCCACCTGCCACACATGGGTGGACCTTGAGGACACACTGAGAAATGAGCCCAGTGCAGAAGGGCAGATGCTGTGACCCCATGTGACAGGCCTGCAGGAGCCAGGTCCACACAGAGAAGGGGATGGTGGTGCCTGGGGCAGGGGGTGGCTCAGGATTAATGGGGACAGAGGTTCAGCTTTACACGCTGATGAGTTCTTTTTTTTTTTTTTTTAATCCTCATCCAAAGACATTTTTCCATTTTTTGTTTAGATAGTGGGAGGGAGGGAGAGGAAGAGAGAGAGAGAAAAAAACATTGATATGAAAGGAACACATCAAGTGGCTGCTTCCCGCACGACCCAACCAGGGTGGGGACAAACTGCAACCGAGGTACGTGCCCTTAGCGGGAACCGAACCCGGGTCTCTCTGGACCGCAGGCCGACGCTCTAACCGCTGAGCCAAACTGGCCAGGGCAGGCTGATGAGTTCAGAGATGATGGCAGCGATGGGAGCAGAACAGTGGGAATGTGCTTGATACCACCGAGCTGAGCACTTGGAATGGATTAAATGGTACATTTTGTGTGCATTTCCACACAATTAAAAATGGAAAAGTACATTGTAGAAACCAGAAAATACAGCTATACCCTCCCATTACCCTCCGACTTGGAGCAAATGGCTACCAAGTGGCAGGTGTGGTATGAAAATGGGGAGGTGCCTTCCAAGCTGGTGCTGGGGTGTCAGGTGGGGCCCAGCTGGCCAGACTGAAGGTGTGACCGGCTCCTTCCCATGGAACCCCCTTTGGTGAAGGGGGGAGATGCCTTAGGGATATTCCTGTGGCCAGGGGTGGCTTCAAGATCACTGGCATGAACACAGCATGGTCTTATCTCATGTCCCCATCCCAGGTGGGCCACCTCCTGCAGCAATGACCGGGGAGAGCAGTTTGGGGTGTCCGGAGACAGGCACCTCAGAGAGAACTTCTGAGCGCTATCCTGCACGGCCAGCAAGGCCCGAGCAGCAGGCCCGGCGGCTGTGGGGGTAGTGAGGGGTAGCAGGCCTGGGGTCCTTTCTGTGTCCCACCCCCACCCCTTCCTCTCCAGGCCAGCCGCAGGAGGGCAGGAGGGTGGGGGACCAGTCCGGACATTGCCCCCTCTCCCAAGGTGTGCTGGCACAATGGTTACCCACTCTGGGCTCTTGAGCCCAAAGTGCTTTCTCACCAAGACTAGCTGGGTGGGCTGGTAAAGACCCACTTTGACCTGGGCTTCCCCAACTGTAAAGGGGGGCGAGCAGCAGGCACCCCTCAGCAGGCATGGCCAATGAGCTGCCAAACGGGCTGAGACCCCGCCCCCTCTGTGGGCCCCTCAGCTCCTGGCCAGTCACAGGGCCAGGAGGCTGCACCCTCAGGGCTGTCAACACGTGCAAGTACTCTGTCTAAATAGATAGCATTTATTCAGTCATCAGGAGTACAAAACACCGATCAGAAAGCCCCCACCCCCACAGTCCTCTGCGCTGTTCAGCGAGCCATCCAGGCAGCTGCCTCCAGGTGGCCCTCAGGACTCGAACACGGCACAGCTGGCGCAGAGCACCTTCTCGTGAATGTCGCCGCAGCTGTGACACCGCAGGAGAGAGGAGCTGGTATTAGGGGCTGCGCTGGGTCCCCCCGCTTACATGTCGAGGTGCTGACCCGGGACCTCACTGGGACGCCGTGGCTGGCTGCAGCTGCAGTTAATTAGGACGGAGTCCCCCCCGCGCGAGTGTCCTGGGAAGAGCACTGGGGCACCGAGCGTGCCAGCCACCACTGGAAGCCGGGACAGGCGCGGAGCAGACCCGCCCACGGCCTCGGGAGAAACCACCTGCGATGCCCCCCCCCGGGGCTGCGGGCTACCAGAGTGAGGACGAAGGCCGGCTGTTTGCAGATTGACAGCCAACCGGCCGCCTGGGCCCAAGCTGGGTAACACCCTGGAAGGAGGCCTCCCAGAAACCTCCCGGTTGTCCAGTCAGGATTTACTAAACCATGACAGTTCATATCAAACAGTCAAGATGAGAACATTTGCAGGGAAAACACCTTGGGAGAGGCCCTGGAAGGCCAGGGAACTAACTGGCAGCACACCACAGGAGACCAAGGCAGACTGTCTACGGCATCACCGTGAGTCAGAGGTGTGAGCAGGTTTTTGCGAGTGAGCTGTTACAGCCCCAGCCAGCACCCCCCAGCAGCAGAGCTGTGAGCAAGGACACTCCAGTGTGGGCAGGCCACCACCAGCAGCAGGAATCTGGGACCACGCCTAAAGCAGCTGGGGAGGGGGCAGAAGACTATGGGCACAGAGGCCCAAGGTCTGGCTTCCAAGCCTGGGGATGGCAATTCAGCTTTGTGACCTGGAGCAGGTCGTTGGTTTGTGACACAGGACAGAGAGCCCACCCCCTGGTTGTGGCCACGAGAACCAAGGCGTGTGCACCGTGAGGCCTGAGGCCTGCTCTGACGTGGCAGTGTGAATTCTATGGGCAAAGGGAAGAGGAAGTCGAGGAAGTCGAGGCTGGCAGGGAGGACAGCAGGGACACTGCAGGCAGGAGGGTTTCCAGCCCCTCTGCTGTGTTCCTGTCCTCGGGTGAGGAGGCCCCTGGCCACAGCCAGCCCTGCCCTGCAGTCCACACATAAACAGAAGAATTAAGCTGGTGAAACTTACATTCAGGACTCCCTGGGGCCATCTTGGGGCGTGGGTCCTTCCCCTGGGCCACCCACACCGCCCCGGCTTTCTGTCCCGCCAGACACACCCCTCACTTCCCAAGGCTGGTCTAAAGACGGCCTGGTCAAAGCTGGTTTTCGGTCCACCAACAGCTCATGTCTCGGGGACACGTCTTCTCACAGCTGCGGCTGGGACTCACACTCTCACTAACAGCCCAGCAAACACACATTCCTGCTCGACAGCCCACCACCCACCGACGGCGACACACAGTGCACGGCTGCCACCTCCGAGATCCGCTCCAGTGAGGAGGCCCTGGGAGGGAAGCCGTGTGCAGTGCTAACGTCAGGGCTCGGAGGACTGTGCACCAGACCGCGCAGGGGCAGAGGGGCCCTCTGCGGCGGGTTTCCCAGGGGACTGACTACAGTCTCCAAATGCCCAGCCCGGCTGCCCCACCCGCTGCTCCTGCACTTACTCCACGAGGGCACACAGGGCGCAGGCCACAGCCCCACAGCTGCCGCAGGCGCGCACGCACCGCCCGCACAGGGCGCGCTCACACTGGCCGCACACCGCCGTCCCGTCCACGGCTCGCACACACGAGGAGCAGGCTCTGGATGCTGCCCCAGACACGTCTGTGAGGAAGAAATGCCAACTGTCAGCCTGTCCAATGCCTCGAAGTGCTGGGGGCTTTGGGGCCACCGCCTCCTCTGAGGACGGCTGACCCTCCAGCACCTGACCTCCCTGGACCCCCACAGACGCCTGTGAGCAGGTCCACACACAGCCCTGTTTCAGGAGGGAGAGCCCAGGGGGCTCTGCGACTCTGCTACCCAAACCTCCCACGGTCCAGGTGCCAGTGCTGGAAGGGTCAGCTCTTCCCTGCCTGTGTGAGAGTCTCAACGTGTGGCCCCCATGTCACAGACCCAGGGGTGGGCTGGGGACTATAATGAGCAAAACAGGTGATAGTCTGAGATGCACACCGACACATGACCAGGCTGTTCCCGCTCAGACAGGACCCTGCGGAGCTGCAGGAAAGCAGGTGGGACACACTCGAAGGCCACGGGGGCGGGGGGTATGGGCGTGTCTCTGCTCCTTTCCCCCTGACAGTTAAAAGCGTTTACAACTCCATGACTTGGTCCTGGCCAGTCTTGCTCAGTGGTTAGAGTCAGCCTATGGACTGAAGGGTCTCAGGTACGATCCCTGACCCCAGTAGGGGTTGTGTGGGAGGCAACCAACCAATGTATCTCGCCACCCCCCCCCCCACTCCCTTCCACTCTCTGAAATATCAGTGGAAAAATATCTTCGGGTGAGGATTAACCAAAAATAAATAAATAAAAACGAGTAACTCCCTGACTTGAATGTTGGCAGGGACAGAAACTCCACAAGTCAGGGCCTCCCAGGGCTCACCCTGCTGGGCAGACAGTGTCTCAGGTGGCAGGACGGCACTTACCGTGTCCATCCCTAGCGCATCGCTGGGAAGCGCCCACTGCCAGCCTCACTCACCAGCTTCGCAGGCCTGGGCTCCCCTCCTCATCAGTCGGCCATCGGGTCCAATCAGCATCTGCCCACGCGTGGCCCGAGGGGCCTCCATGGGGCCTGGCTTTGGGGACTCTGGTAGGTCAACCATAGCGCAGCCTTCCTCCCACACATGGTCCATGTAGGCCTGGGCCCCACGAAAAAGGAGCTGCCTGGTCTTCTCTGGGGAGACAAAGCACGCCCCGTCACACCTTCAAAGTGTGGGCCCCTTTGCACAGCCACCTCGTCCTTCAAGCCAGGTGTGGCGAGGCCCCTCTGTGCTCTGCTCTCCAGGCCCCCCGCCCCGCTGCTCCCTGGTGAACTGGGTCCACTCTACCTCCCACCCACCCTTACCCAGGCTAAGCTGCCGCCTCCTACAGGGAGGTTGGGACTCTGCAGCCCCACCGGGCTCTGTCTCAATCACTCCGCCCCTTTTCCTCAGAGCTCTCTCGAGGTGCAGCCTCATCTCGCTGCTGCTCCCCCCTTGCCAGAGCCCACCAGTCCACTGGGTCCAGCACCGAGGAGCTCCGTGCTACGGAGCACAAACTCAGAGGCAGAGGTTCAGAGCTGGGCCTCGAAGCCCCGGTCAGTTGGCCCCTCACTCACTGCAGAGCTGCTGGCAAGAGGTATGGCAGCAGCTGGCTCCTGACACAGGAAACCTACCAGGCTTCTGTGGGCCCTGGACACTGTCCGCCCCGCCCCCAGAGCTGAAGTGGCTGCTCAGCACCCAGAGCAGGGGCTTTCCATCAGACCACAAGCCAGCCACCAGAGGCTCTCACAAGACCAAGTGCTGGTGCCAGCCCCCACAATACTTTGTCCTTTCTGCTGTGTCCCCACAGAGCGAGGGAGGAACTGCTAGAAGCTGGTGGCTCCGTGAAACTGACCAGAACTGTTACCAGGTAACTCAGATGTAGTGGCTGATGACAGCCCAGCCACACTCAGCTCCTCCTCCAGGCTGTCCTGCAACCACCCCCAACCTGAACAGGATGGGAATAGGGTTGGGGGTCACCTTGGAAGGCTAATGTTTGTCTTCGAAGTCTTGTGGTCGGGGTGAATGACCTCCAGCTTGGAGTTCATCACATATGAGATGTGAGTTCAAGCTGGGTGTCCTGCCTGCATTATGCAATGCCCAGGGAGCCCCCACCCCCACCCCACGAGCCTGCACTGCTTGCGGCCCAGCAAGACTGAGGTCAAGGGAGAGAGTCAAGAGCCAGGCTGCTTTGGTTCCCATTTTCAGTCTTGTTGCTCGCACAGTGTTTACGGTTTTGAGTTTCCCGACGGGGCACGCATTTGCACGGCCTGGGGAAGGAACTGTGTTTACAGCCCAAGTATGCACGGACACAAGGTGCAGAGCAGCTGCAGGAGGCGGTAGCTGGGTGACTGGGAGACCCAGGAAAAGAGAACCGGGGTCTCCGGAGGCGGGCTCCTCTCGGAGCCCCTAACACAAAGCAGCAACACTCAATTACAAACACCCAGGTCCCTAACAGCTCAGCGGGTGCAAATCCCCGCCCCTTCCTCTCGGTAAGGTAAGCTCCGCGTTGTAGCTGCCCCAGAGTATCAACCACCCCAAACTGATGGTCAATAACATCAACGCATCTAAAAATGTTCACGAGAGCGCCAAGTGAGAAGGTCTCCGACGGCTGGCTGCCCTCACACATCACCCTGAGCTGGCCCTTCCAGCCACACGAACCCTGCTGCGCCCCCGCTTCCCGGCCTTTGCACGTGCTGTCCCGCAGGCCGGGGTCGCCCTCCTCGCCCTCCGCCCGCCTGACTGCTTTCCCCGGCAGGGTTCAGCTCAGACGCTTCTCCCCGAGCCCTCCGACACCCCTGCCGGCGGCTTGCAGCGACCTGCGCCTGCGCGGACCACCCCGGCCAGTCCTCCACCCGAGGCCCGAGCTCCCGGAGGCGGCGCCTCGCGCGCAGCCGCAGTGCCTGGCGGGAGGGCGCGCTCCTCAAATACCTCCTGGTTAGTCCACCCAGAACACGCCACTCCCGACCTCTCGCTGGGCCGCAGGGACCCCGGCGCCGCGCCGAGCAGGGTTAGCTGCTCGCGAGCTCGGCACCCCCGCAGGACCGAGCCCCGACGCGGCCCCGCGCAGAGGGGCCACCGCTGGTGAACATGGGTGCAACCACGCCCCGCTCCCTGCTCCCAATCCCCGGCCTCCCAGCGGCTCCCCGGCCTCCCAGCGGCTCCCCGGCCTCCCAGCTCCCGGGGGCGCGGCCTGTGGGGGCCGGTGCCCAGACCTGCGCCGCAGGGAGGAAGGCCTATCCCGCACTCACCGAAGATCTCTCGCGAGTAATGCTCGGCGCACACGCCGCGGCCCAGCTCCTTCCAGCCCACGCGGACCTTGAGCTGCAGCGGGGCCGCGTCCCCGAAGGGGCAGCCCCGCTTGGGCATCGCCGCGGGCCGCAGAGCTCGGCGTCCGCGCCTGGCCGCGTTCGTTTCGTCACAGACGCGCGCCAACCCTCGCGCAGGGCGAGGACGGAGCGCGTGCGTGGCGCCGCGCGGGATAGGCCAGCGGCGAGGGCAGGGGCGGGGCTCGTGAGCAGCGCGGCGCGGAATAGGCCGGGGAGATCTCGGGGGCGGGGCTCGCGCGCGGCGCGGGAAACAGCCCTGGCAAGTGGGCGCGCCGGGGCTGGGAGAGGGTGGGGTCGTGAGCACGCGGCTCCGGATAGGCCGGCTGAGGGCAAGACTCGCGCGCCGGGGGTGGGCCCTGAGTGCGGCGCGCCGCGGGATAGGCCGAAGGCGACCTTGGGGGCGGGACTCGCGAGAGGCGCGGCGCGTGACTGGGTGGGAGGGACGGGGTGTCTCAGGTTTTTTTTCTTTTGGTCGGTAAACAACTGTCGAAACTGGTTCTAGTTCCTGGTTTAAGTCAGTAGAGATGGAGGGTGACTCCACGTCTCCTAATTTTCACTCTGTCGGCATTCCCATCCTCACCGAAGCGGAGAGTGACGTTGCACGCCCCGGAGTAGGCCTGACGTCACGCCCAGTCCCCGCCGCCGCCGGCGCCGCTGTTCGGACGGACCCGCGGGGCGCGCGCGGGGTCACCCGGCTCGACCCCACCGTTGCCCGGAAGCGCATCTCTACAGCCGCTCCGTTTGGCTCGGCAGCGCCACTGCCCCCCACCCGCTTCTTTCGGCTCCTGCGTCATGCACTTTCGGTGACGAGAGCCGAGGCCCCAGTCTGACTGCAAGTCACACGTGACGTCACGTCTGCCGGCGGCTCCTCCCGAGGCGCGCAGTGTACCGCACGATGATGCATTATAATAATGTATTGCAGTATCATAGTAGACCTGAAGCTTATGTAATCCTACTAACCACTGCCACCCCAATGAGTTCAGCTGAAAAGGGGGATTCAGCTCTTACATTTCAGTCTAACTTGAAGACGTTTGTCCAGGGCCCATGAGTGCTGTGTTCATTCACTGTGGTCCGCAGCGCTCACAGGCCTGTCCCCGGGTCGGAGCAGGTGTCGCGGGCTGGCTCCGCCCAGGCCAATCTCCCGGGCATGTGACTGGCCACCTGCCTGTGTCCTCACGTGGCCGTCCCTCTGTGTGTCTATGTCCCAATCTCCTCTTTTTATAAGGTCCCCAATCAGCTTGGCTTAGGACCCAACGCATGTGACCTTTGTAGACTTAACCAACTGGTTCTTCAAAATACTGAAACAGAATGACCATATGACCCAGCAATCCCACGTCTAGACATAGAAAGGAAATGAAATCACTTTCTCCAGGCGATGTCTGCACCCCCGTGTTCACTGCGGCGCTATTCGCAGTGGCCAAGACATGGCAGCCACCTAGGCGCCATGGACCGATGTATGGACAGAGAAGAGGTGGTGCATACACACAACGGAATATTACTCGGCCATAAAAAGGACTTCCTACCCTTTGCACCAATGTGGATGGATCTAGAGGGTATTATGCTAAATGAAGTAAGTCAGAGAGAGAAAGATAAATATCGTATGATCTCACATGTGGCATCTGAAATCCTCGAACTCAGGAGCAGAGAGTAGAAGCTGGTCCCTTGGAGCTAGGGGAGGGTGGTGTATGGGGAGATGGGGGACAAAGGGACACCCTTCCAGTGATAAGATGGACAAGGTCCAGTCTGAGATAGTCTGAGCCTCTTAAACAATGGGAATGCTCTTCAGTTTTTTCTTAACCCTTTTCTGGATATGTTCAAAGTTTTTCCTCAAGCAGCCCCCAAAGAGCTTCACTCTGCAAACCTGGGAAGCAAGGAGCTTGGCTCTGGGCCTGTGAAGGGCCCAGCTCCGGGCCTGTGTGAAGAGCCTGGCTCCGGGCCTGTGTGAACAGCTGAGCTCTGTGTGAGCCAGACCCCAGCCAGGCAGTAGGAGCCACACTCTTCCTTTGTGTGCACTCCCCTGACTCATCGAGTTCTCACGCTCTCTCCCTTCCCTCCACCGTTTTCAGTAAACCTCTGAATCTGTTTTGCCTCCTCTCCTGATTTCCAACTTACTGGGGTAGGGGGCAGAAACCCCTTCACGAGTGACACGGGTCTGATACAGCGCGGTGACGAGAGTTGGCAATGCCATGCTGTGTACTTGAAAGTTGCGACGGGAGGAGGTCTTAGATGTTCTCGCCACAACACGGCGATTCACTGAGGTGAAGGAGAGTTCACTACCCTTACTGTGGTGAACATTTCGTAATGTCAAATCATCACATTGCTCACCGTAATTTACAGTTGAGGTGTACACTGCATGCCAATGACACGTTCGATATCAATTATATCTATCAATAAAGCTGGGGGGAAACTGAATTACCTCCTTAAAGATCATATTTCCAGACACGGTCACATTCTGAGGAACTGTTGGGACTTCAACATGAGTTTCAGGGGAACACAATTCAGCCCACCAGTGCCAAGCTCTGCGCTAGATCCTTGTGGGTGGAGTTGAATAGAACCAACAGAGTTTCTGCCCTCTAGTGGGACAAACGCCACAGAAGGGGACGCCCAGAGTCAGGAGACCTGCCCCCGAGGGGATGGGGAGGGGCAGGAAGACGGGCTAGCAGGGCCTGAGCTTGTGGGAAGCACTTGCCTACTGGCATAGAAAGCTGGACATTCTAGCCCTGGCCGGTTTGGCTCAGCGGTTAGAGCGTCGACTTGTGGTCCAGAGAGACCGGGTTCGGTTCCCACTAAGGGCATGTACCTTGGTTGCAGTTTGTCCCCGGCCCTGGTTGGGTCATGCGGGTGGCAACCACTCGATGTGTCCCTTTCACGTCGAATGTCTCTCTCTCTCTCTCTCTCTCTCTCTCTCTCTCCCTCCCACTCAATCTGAACAAAAAATGGAAAAATGTCCTCGGATGAGGATTAAAAAAAAAAGAAAGAAAGCTGGACTTTCTGAAAGTGAACAGTCACCAGACTGTCTCCCCACCGGAGGAGCTGACGTCCCCTCCCTCCAACAAATGCACAGAGAGGCGGAAGCCTGCGGGACATGTACTTGTTAAAATGTTTACTCAGAGGGGCAGTTTGAGTAATTAGTGTCTCAGCTGTGCCAGGAGCTTGTATTACTTCTAGTAACTTCTCAATGGGCTGTGCCTTCTGCCTCCACAGGGTCGCACGGCCGTCCTAGACCCACCATCCCCTCGTGCGTCTGCCTCCTCTCTGCACGCAGACTGCCCATGTTCTCATGCCCTCCGTGGCCTGTTCCTTCTGTGGCTCTTCCGTGTGTGCATAGACCACAACTTGTGTACCTGTCGGTGGACACCTGGGTTGGTGCCAGGTTCTGCAGTCACCAAGGCAGATGCTCTGGACACTCCTGTGTAAGACTTTTTCTGCACATGTGTTACTTCGTTGTGGGTCCATGCCTAGGGGTGCGATGGCTTGGGGGTAGGTACATGAGTTGTTGTTTTTTTAAATCCTCATCTAAGGATATTTGTTTTCTATTTATATTCAGATGGAATTGGGGATGGGGAGAAACATCAATGTGAGAGAGACACATCAATTGGTTGCCTCCTGCATGACCCCGACCAGGGCTGGGAACCGAACTGCACCTGAGGTACGTGCCCTTGACCGGAATCAAACCCGCCACTCTTAGGTCTGTGGGCTGACGCTCTAACCACTGAGCCAAACTGGCAAGGGCGGTGGATAAGCCTTTAATTCTAAGAACACTGGTAGTTTTCCAAAGTGCTGGAAAAACACATTTTTTAAAAAATCCTCACCTGCCCTGGCCGGTTTGGCTCAGCGGTTAGAGCGTCGGCCTGCGGTCCTGAGAGACCCGGGTTCGGTTCCCGCTAAGGGCACGTACCTCGGTTGCAGTTTGTCCCCGGCCCTGGTTGGGTCGTGTGGGTGGCAACCACTCGACGTGTCTCTTTCACGTCGATGTTTCTCTCTCTCTCTCTCTCCCTCCCACACTCTATCTGAACAAAAAATAGAAAAAATGTCCTCGGGTGAGGATAAAAAAAAATCCTCACCCGAGGATATTTTTACATTTATCTTCAGACAGAGTGGGAGGGAGGGGGAGAAAGAGAGAAACATGGATGTGAGAGAGACACATCAGTTGGTTGCCACCCGCACGACCCCAACCAGGACCAGGGATGAACCGCAACCGAGGTACATACCCTTGGCCGGAATCGAACCTGGGATTCCCTGGTCCTCAGGCCAACGCTCTAACCGCTCAGCCAAACTGGCCAGGGCAAAATGCATTTTATCAAACAACATTACCGAATCTCTTATTTGTCTTTTATCCACAGATTGAACTAGGACCACTCCGAGCTCATCTTCACTGGGGCTGTGTTATTGGTACAAAGAGCACCTTATTATAATTTCTCAGACCCTCAGAACACCCAACGCCAAGGAAACAGGGCTGTCTGCACAAACCGCCCCTCGGAGGACACGGCCTCCCGTCCCTGGGCCACCAGTGCTGGGGAAGAATGACCTCTAAGTTAACGACCTTTCTGCTGGGAGACGTGTGCAGTCATGTGAGACAGCAAAGGGTGTCTGAGCCGCTCGGACCTGCTCAGTGACCGAGGGACAGTGCGTTCCTAACTACAGCCTTCCGTGGGCCTGGCCACATGCACGCTCCAACGGTTCCAGCCTCAGAGGTGAGTGATCACAGGCCTGTTCTTTCCACGTCCGATACGAATGTCAGCATCCTTGCTCCCGCATTCCTTCCAGGCTCTCCATCCACTGCGGGTGCTGAGACCCCGCCTCACCCACAGTCCCTGTGGCCGGTGCAGAACTTTCCACCCCGCTGCGTGTGACTCCTGAAACCACAGGCGCCCACCTGTCCTCTCTGCTCCCCCCTCCGTGAGCACACCCCCTTCCTGCAGTCCGGCCCCTACAAGACTTCCAGCCCTGCTCTGGGGCATGTCCTCGGATGGGCCCCAGCAAAATCTCTTTCCTTCCATCTACAAAAGCGCCAGTCTTCTTTTCGTGGACACGCGCCACGCCGTGGCCTGGGGCTTCCTCCTAGAGACTCTGTCCGAGACGGAGGAAATAGGGCACCTGCGTCTGAGTGGCGGGCGCAGCGGCCTCCAGGCCGAGCTCCCCGCAGCTGCGGAGTTAAAGGGCAGGCTAACCTCGCAGGCCAGGCCGGTGTCTCCCTGCGCAGCGGGAAGCGACTGATCTTCCTTTGGAAACATGCGGACTCTGGTCCGTTGTCAGAACCCTGCTGGCCGTGGTAGCGAGAGGCGACCAGATGGGCATCTCTAGGGAGAAGCTGTCTCCTGGAGGCCGTGAGGGGCCGGGGTCCCAGAGCTCACCCGCCTGGGACTCTGTCCCTCTGCCTCTCTGTGTTGCGGAAGGGAGGAAGTAACTCCCTGGAAACTCAGCCTGTTCCTGTATGTGCCCGTCACCTGCACCCCGCGGGGCCAGACTGCTGGTGATGGGGAGGCCCAAGGATGCTGGGGCAGAACGTGGTTCACTGACTTCTTTCGAGTCCCTGCAGCCGTTCCGGGCACTGTTGGAGAGGTCTGCGGGCACAGGGAAGTCCCAGGGGTCCACGTCTCCACCTGTGAGCGGGCCACACCGGAGTGAGCCGACTTCAGCGAACCCAGCTTCAACTCTCAGCGCTACAAAGCCCGGGCTCGCCCTGGCGGCCCCTCTCCGTGGAACTCCTTCCCTCTCAGAGGGTAGCAGAAGGGCAGTAACTTTCCTCAACTGACCCCAAACCCTGTGGAGCTGTGCAGGAGGCTGCTGGTCAGGGCGAGTGCAGCCAGGAGCAGGCTGGCGACCAGGGGTCCCTCCGCTGAGACCCAGAGGCCCGGGTGAGGACTCGCGGACATAGACGGGCAGGGTGGCTCCATCGCCCAGCAGAGGAAGGGGCTCGGGCTCTAGAGCGAACTCCTTTAAATGTTTGGTTTTGGAAAACACATTCACTGCTGTGGTCTCCCTCACATGGGCTAGTTCTGAGCCAACAAACTTCTTGGCTTTGTGACAACAGACACGAGGGTCACCCAGACTGCTGTCACCGCAAAGCGCTGGTGGTACCTTTTAGTGTTAAAAGTCAAAACAAGCCTGGCTGGTGTGACTCAGTGGTTAAGCGTTGACCCATGCACCAAGAGGTCGACGGTTCGATTCCCGGTCAGGGCACATGCCCAGGTTGTGGGCCCGATCCCCAGTGGGGGGCATGCAGGAGGCAGCCAATCAGTGTTCTCTCTCATTGATGTTTTTATCTTTCTCTCCCTCTCCCTTCCTCTCTCTCTCTAAAAAATTAATGAAGAAAAAAAATAAAGCATGTAATGTATATATTTAAAAAAAGTCAAAACAAAAGGACAGTCAGAACAAGACACGCGTGACCACTACCGTTCAGTGGCTCTTGGATGTTTATTGCTAAACTGCTCCCACCAGACACACAGCATGTGATGTAAATGAGCCACCAAAGGTCCGCACTTTGGGCCCCATGACTCCTTCAAGCAGCAGGGTCGTGAACGGGTGCACAGGGCCGGCCTTCAGATGTTTAATGGGACCCCAGAAATCGGCAGGTGAGCTGAAGGCTCAGGAGAAATATAAAAGTCCAGAAAATCTTTTCCTACATCTTTCTGATGGCACCAGCGTTGCCTCCGGGGGCGGGGACAGGGCGTGCTGGGATCCGCTCTGTCACGGTCTAAAACAGCTGGATGATTGAGTCCCTCGATTTGCCGACACCAACCCATTTCACTGGAAGGGAAAAGGCTGGTCAGGCTGGGGCGCCGTGGGGGGGGGGGGGGGCGGCGCCAGGCACGGGGCACCCACCTGCCACTCCGACGTGATTCTCCACAAACCGGACGTAGCTCTGGGCCTGCGGGGGCAGGTCCTCCCACTTCCGGGCACCCGTGGTGTCAGCTTTCCACCCAGGCAGCGTCTCGTACTCGACCTCGACCTTCTGCAGGATCTCCTGGTTAGCTGGGGACACATGGGGTGGCACTGTCCTCACGTCCGCTCCACGCCGGGCAGGCGCTGGGTAGCTGGGACCCCCAGCCTGGGGCCTGCTCCCCTGGGGGCTCAGCGGCGAGGAGGGCAAGCCGCCCTGCTTGGTTTCTTCAAGGTCAGAGAGTGGTGCTCGGACAGCGGATGTACCGCTGCCCTACCAGGGGGACACGGCCAGCCGCACACGGGTTCGCCGCTGGAATGCCCTCGAGTGACTCAGCTGAGGACATTCTAAGGGGCTCTGAGACTTAGAAGTGTTAAGAAATCCTGCCCTGGCCCTGGCCAGTGTCGCTCAGCGGTTAGAGCGCGGCCCCTGGACCAAAGAGTCGCGGGTTTGATTCTGGTCAAGGGCACGTACTTCGGTTGCGGTTCATCCCCAGCCCGGGTTGGGGTTGTGCAGGAGGCAACCAGTTGATGTGTCCCTTTCACATCGATGTTTCTCCCTTTCTCTCCCTCACTCTCCCTCCCTCTTTCCACTCTCTCTAATGATTAATCAATGGAAAAATATCCTCGGGTGAGGATTAAAAACAAAGTGTTAAGAAATCCTGAAGGAGCCCGACTGGTGTGGCTCAGTGGTTGAGCGTCGACCTATGCACCAAGAGGTCGCCGGTTCGATTCCCAGTCAGGGCACATGCCCAGGTTGTGGGCCTGATCCCCAGTGGGAGGCCTGCAGGAGGCAGCCAATCGATGTTCCCTCTCATCAGTGTTTCTCTATATCTCTCCTTTTCCCTTCCTCTCTCTAAAAATCAATAAAGGAAAAAAAAAAAAGACATTGTGAAGGAGCTATGCCCCCACCCCTTCCCGGGCAGGGACCCCATTTGGAAGGGACCCTGGGCTCACAAATGGGAGATGCAGGAACAAGCCGTCCACCCCAAGGATGTCCAGCCTCAGCCCCCTCGGAGTTTGCACAGTCCCGAGCCCTGACCCCGGGGTTACACCACACGTCGAAGGGCAGGGTCAGTAGGGTGAGTCAGGGACCCTGGGAGGCACTGGTGGGTCTACACAGACAGGGAGGGGGAGCGGCCCGTCCATGCCAGCGAGGGAGGAAGCCGCGGGTGGGAGTGGGTCAGAAAGTGACCCACGTCCAGAGTCCGGAGTGACGGTGAGCTCCAGGAGAACGGCACGGCCTGCCTGCTCTCTATAGGTCTGTGGCAGTGGGAACCCAGCGACAGGGTCCGAGCGAGTGTGTTCTCAGGTCAGACTGCCATCTTTCCACGGCAGAGCTCAGGTCCACCAGAGCGTCCTCGTCTGCTGACCGAGGTGGGTCCCCCAGGGCCCCGGGGTGGGTGCCGGGCTCCGTTCCACCTGCCACCAGGCCAGTCCCTCCCAAACTGGGGCGCACCCACAGCCACCCTGAGAGCCGGCCAGGCCGCCCCGTCGGTGTGAGAAGCTGGGACAGCCAGTGGCCAGGCAGGTGCGAAACCTTCCCCGCGCCTCCAGGACCCACTGGTCACGTCTGCCCCAAGCCGGGTGCAGATGCCCCCGAGGGGAAGCCGCCTCCCCCTCATACCTGGGAAATAGGGGATCCTTTTCCCGTTCAGCTTGTACGAGACGCCGACTTTGATCTCGTCCAGGGCGTCCAGTATGTCCAGTTTGGTTAAAGCCAGCCTGTCCAAAACCAGGACGACAAATGGAGAAGCTGTTGGCATTGCGCTCGTGGCTTTGCCTGCCTGCCTCCCACGCTCCTCCTCTGCCTCAGTGAACAGAAGATAAAGCTGAGGTGCTCCAGGAGCCAGGCAGCGGGCAGGCTGGGGCACCCTCCCACAGCCACGGCGGCCTCGCGTGCGGAACAGTCCAGATGGAGTGACTCGCCCTGTAGGAGCGGGCTCTGGCCCCCAGCCCGGGCTCCCGGCTCCGGCTGCTCCGCTGGGGTCTGGGGACCCTGGGACAGTCCCAGCGTGGATGGTATGGGGGTGGCCACGCGCAACAAGCGCTTACGCGGTAAACCCATTGACCATGTGAGCGTAGCGCAGAATCATCAGGTCCAGCCAGCCGCAGCGCCTCTTCCTGCCCGTGGTCACACCCCACTCGTGGCCGCGGTTCTGCAGCAGGTCGCCGATTTCCTGTGTGCGGGCAGGGCGGGTCCCCGCGCACGTCAACGGAGCCTGGCCTGCCTCTGCCCGCCTGCGCTCTGCTCCTCCCCTCCCCCAACCCGTGCCTCGGGGCAGGGCTCGAAGCTGCACCCTGCAAACTGCGCCCCAGCTGAGGCTCCGCTCGCAGGCCTGGGGGTCGCAGGGAGGCCCCGGCAGCCTCGCCCACCTCCTTCCTCAGTGCCCACTGCGGGGAGTGAGATCAGAAGGCAGCTGTCCTGTGGCTCGGCTGGGGGCCTGCGGGCTGTGAGCCGGCTTCTCCCCTGGTCCCCATGCCTATCCCTATGTCGCCTGCCCGCCGCAGCTGCCACACACTCCTGGACATGGTGCCCCTCCCGCTCTGGCCCTCACACGCCTGCTCAGGACCAGGCCTCCTGTCCTCCTGGCCACCGGGACGCCAGGCCAGGCGGACAAAGGCAGGCTGCTGGCATCCTGGGGACTCCTTTCTGAGCCAAGGGGCGTCCCTGACCCCACTCGCCTGCAGCACCCCCAGTGGGGCCCAGGCTGTGTGGACACGTGTGTGCCTGAGCCACGTGGTGCCGTGCTGACGGAGCCCGCAGCCCCACCCACGTCTCGCTGCACGCCCCACCCCGACGCCTGGCCCCTCTGCACCCCCGGGGGGTCCTGCCCGGGCTGGGGACTCACGTTGATCTGCTCAGTGGGGAAGGCGCCGATGCCCACGCGTGTGGTGTAGGCCTTCACCACGCCGTAGACATCGCCTATGTTCTGGGGGGGGATGCCCAGCCCCGTGCACACGCCACCCACTGTGCAGTTGGATGACGTCACAAAGGGGTAGGTCCCTGAAAGACAGAGCCAGTTGGGGCCCTTCTGCCACCCCCACAGATCACACCAGCCCAGGGGACCCTCTGGGCAGAGGGCATGGTGGATAAGCCCCTGCACGGCCCCTCAGTGGGGTCTCCAGGGAGAGCGGTATCAGGGACCATCCTGGGGGGACGGGAGGGAGGAGGCTGCTCAGCCGCAGGCGGCCGCGGTTCGTCTGTGTCCCCGGTCGGGGAGGGGGGTGCAGTCCGAGGCGTGGCCCGAACCATCCCACCCTGTCGGGTCCCTGGGGTCCTCCCTCCTCTCGGCTGAAGTTCGACCGAGAGGCCCTGTGGCCCTTTCTGTGGCAGGGGTGGCAGCGTGGCCGCAGAGGGGCCTGCTTGTGCCCGCGCCCAAGCAGACACGTGGAGACGGGCCCGCGGTCCGCACCGAAGTCAATGTCCAGGAGGGCCGCGTTGGCGCCTTCCACGAGGATCTTCTTGGGGGCGCCGTGGAGCGCCTCGTACATGAAGTAGACGCCGTCTCGGACCATGGGCCGGATCCTCTCGGCAAAGCCCTGCGAGGGAGGAGAGTGGCCACGGGGGTGCCCCGCCCCCTCCCGCCAGCCTGGCCCATGCAGACCACCTCCTCCAGTCCGGGGCCTGGTCTGCAAGCCCGACCCCACCCAGGGCTTGTCTGTGACACCCAGCACTGCCCTCAGCCACCATCACGGGGTGCAGTGGGTCCCCCAATTCAGGTTGGAACCCTGACCCCCAGGACCTCAGGATGGGGCTGTACTTCGAGGCCAAGTTCTGATGAGGTCCCTAGGGTGGACCCGAATCCAGTGTGACTGTGTCCCTATGGGTCCATCTATCTTCATTTACAGCCCAGACAGAGGTCCGAGGAGCAGGATCCCAGCCTTGGAAACTTCCAGAAGGCCTGTGCTGATAGCTGCCTGTCCCCACCCCATCTGCCTCTCTCCGAGTGAGCAGGGACTTTACCTGCCTCAGGTGAAACAGCAATGCCCCCCCCACCTCCCCACACATCCTGGCACTTCCCCCAGAAGGCACATGAGGGCCCGGCCGGCGCCCGCCTGGCCTCCTGAGACCTCCTGACTGGCCCTCTGGCCGGGGGCTCACAAAGGAGGCTCATGGGCCCTAAGAAGGCCAGCAGCCCCATAATACTGCCCCGGAAAGGGTGCACCCCGTGAGATAAGTCGTCAGAAGCTCCTGCCGCCTCAGCCCCAGCCCTGGCCCCAGCCTCGGCCCCCTCACTCTACCTTGAGCCTTTTGAGTTGACCTTCAATGTCTATTTCCAAGGTGGGGAACATGGACTGGTGCTGATGGGCCAGGTTCTTGAACCTGCAGAGGTGACAGTGACTGGGTCCCCTCGGCCCTGCTGGATCCCCGAGCCCCTCTCGCTAGCCAGTCCCCCCCAGGGGCTGCGGGCGTCAGGTACCTGGCGGAAAACTCGTCAAAGTCGGACAGCAGGTCGCAGATGCGCAGGCCGGTGCGGGCCGCCTTGGAGGAGTAGGCTGGTCCGATCCCCTTCCTGGTGGTGCCGATGCTGAGAGACGGGGCAGCTGTGAGCACGGGAGCCTGCCTGAGGGCTCAGGGGTCCCCGCCAGGGCCCGGCCCTATTTCCATCCCTGGATGCCGTGTATGGCACCTCCTCAGCGAAGTGCCCAGCAGTCTGGGCGGCGGTGAGAACCCACCGGACTCCTCAAACGGCCACCTCTCAGGGAACCAAGGAACGGGGCTGTGGCAGATGGTGCTGGGCCCCAAACTAATCCTCCCCTCGTCCCCTGGCCTCTGCTCTGGGCCCAGCGTCCACCATGCCCTCCTGTCCCTCTCCTGGGGCCTGGGAGCCAGCCGTGCCCACCCTGCACCCACTGCCAGGCTCCAGGCTCAGCATGGGCACCTGAGTCTGGCCCACGTGAGCGTGTACTTGTGCGTGTGCACACGTGTGTGAGAGGAGTCACCCCGCCTCCTCACAGATATCTTCACAGGGCACTTATAGGACCATCAGGTGCCAGCAGGATCTGGGTGCGGTGTGGGGTGTGGCCTGTGTGTGGGTCCAGGCTGGCCAGGGGTCCCAGGGACAGGTGACAGGCAGCATGGGCAGCCTCCGGGGGGGGGGCAGCCAGTGTGGATGGTGTGACCCAGGGAGAGGAGGCTGGGGGTGAACTGATGGGGCGGTTCTCCAGGGGCTCCGGATCCAGGTTCCCCTCCGGTCCCCTGGGCAGGACACGCCCCGGGACCCCAGCTGTGGATGAAGCCCCACAAGACCGCCTCGGGCACTCACTTCTTCCCCTCCTGGGCTTGCCGCTGCGCCTCCTGGAGCCCGTCGACCGCCTGGTGGAAATCGAACACTGCGGGGCCAGGCGAGGGCACCCGGGGGAGAGACAGACGACGGTTACAGGCCGCCTGCCGCACGCCCGGGCCTCCGAGGGAAGGCGGTCCGGTTTGAAAGGGGACACACTGGGCCCTGGCCGGTGTGGTCAGGTGGCTGGAGCATCGTCCACGCGCCAGAGTGTCTGGGTTTGGGTCCCCGGTCAGGGCACAAACCCAGGTCGCACGTTTGAGTCCCGGTAGGGGCGCGTCCGGGAGGCAACCTGCTTGATGTTTCTGTCTCACGCGGATGTTTCTCTCTCTCTCAAATCAATGCAAACATGTCCTCAGGTGAGGACTACAATAAAAGAGGGACGATTTGGAATGCTGCCTCTGTTCCCCACCAACTCATGTGACCGCGGGTCCCCCTGACCACCGGTGCCCTGGGAAGGCCATGCCGAGCTCCATGGCTCTGTGCCTGGGGAGAGGGCCAGGGCGGGTCACTTGCTCACGGGGCGACACTCACCGAGGTGCGCTCGGTCAGAGATGACGAGCCTCTTCTCCCAGTCCCTGAGGCCTGTGGTGACGGCACAGACGGGAGGGCTGAGACGGGCCAGCTCCCCCAGCGCCCACCGGGCAAGAGCCAAGGCCACCCCCCGTGCTCAGCGCTGACGGCCCTCCCCTCATGGCCTCACCCCAGGGGATGCCCCCCACATTCCTGCAGCACTTATCTCCTCACGGGGCCCCCATCCTGGCACCTCCTGGCTCCCGTGTCCCAGGGTCAGGTTCCCACACCTGCCCTGAACTTGAGCCCCGAGGCCGAGGCCCTGCTCCCTTCACGACCTCTCGGGGACTTGGGGCTGCTGCGTCATGGTCAGCTGGCCCCTAGACAACCCTCACAGGGCCTCAGTCGCCCAGATGCCCTGGCGGGTGGCCCCAGTCACCGCCTGCCTGCCCCCTGTCCCTGAGGAGCCCCTGGAACCACATCTTTGCTGGAAGGCATAGTCAGCCCACCAGAGCAACTGCACGGCAAGGCACCGGCGGACCCGGCCGCTGGCGACACTCCGGTGCCAGGACCTGTGCGTGGGGCTCGGACCTACCTTTCTTCTCGTTCTTCTCTGCCTCTTCGAACAAGCCCGGCAAGTGGACAACCACCCCGTTGCCTGCAACACACGGACAGGAGGCCGCCCTGTATCACAGATGCTGGCGACTCGGACGGGCACCATGGCACGAAACGGGCACCACACGCTCATAGCGGCATCGGTCCCAGCCGCGGAGGCGAGGGTGCAGCCCAGCGTCCACAACGCGGGAGGGGTCACCTACTGGGGTCCAGCCACACCGTGGAAAGTTACTCAGCCTTAGAAAGGACGGAGGCTCAGACACCGGTACGACACGGACGTCGTGCTCGGTGACGTAAGCCAGGTGCAGGAGGACAGATGCTGTGTGACTCACAAAGGTCCCAGCAGCAGTCAGAAGGGTGGAGACGGACAGGGGCGGGCAGGGAGGTGAGGATGCCCAGGGATGATCACGCAGTGGTGTGAATGTGAACCCCCGGACGGTGCACCGGCCATGGCCATGTCCGAAACGGAACGCGGCGACGGCCGTGCAGCCGTGGGTGAATTCCACGGCCCAAGCGACGCCTCAAGAGGGTTGTCAGCTCCCGGGAGCCCTGCTGCCCCAGACATAAAACCAAAGTGGGCGGCACAAGTGGCCCAAAGTCGCACGTCCCCGTGGGTCCAGGTAGAGCCGACCGCTGCCCTTTCCTCTGGGACCACAGGCTGCTGGGCCAGGGCCACCCTCTCCGGAGCTGGCCCCGCGGAGTTGGCAGTGGCACAGGCTCAGCTGAGGAAGACAGGACATTGTCCAGATGGCAGTGACTCAGAGGCCACGCAAGCCACGCTGAGCACAAAAGGTCACCTAAATGCCACGCATCCTGGAATGGCCACAGGGCAGGGCTGGGCTGTCCCAAGCTGAGGGGAGGCCCGTGAACCGCAGCGCCCTCAGCCCTCGCTACGTGCATTCTCGGCCGCCTGGCCACGCTGACTGACGAGCTGGCCCCCGCTGATGCACTCTGGTGACTGTCCAGCCTGGGCCCCGGCCACTGGCCCTGAAGGATCCTCTGAGACCGGGCAGAGCGCACCCCCCGCCGTCAAGTGGTGCCTCCTTGGCCTGCTTCCTGCCTGGCGCGGGGTGGGGGCAGCCGACAGGCGGGAGCTGAGAGGGCTTCCTGTAGCCGGGCCACCCTGCCAGGCCAGGCTGGGGGTCATGTCCTCAGCCACGCTGGAGCCTAGGTCTGCACCCGCATGGAGGGGCGATCGGGGACCTCCTCCTCAGCCCACATTTCCCTCCTGGTGGGCCAGCGCTGGGCACTTCCCTACCCCTGCAGCCCCCGCTTCCTGAGGGGGAGGGGCAGAGGAGTCACGAGGGTGCTCAGCCATAGGAAGAACCAGAAGGAAAAGTACTGGAAGCTCGAAGAGCCTGTCCCAGGGGCCTGGCGGGGGGACCAGGACCAGTGTCTCTGAACAAGGGAGGCTAAGAGATGAGGCCAGGACAGGCAGCGGGGCCTTGTGACCGAGAGAGAGAGAGAGAGAGAGAGAGAGAGAGAGAGAGAGAGAGAGACACCAAGGAGGGGGGAAGAAAAGGAGCGATCCATGGTCCTGGGGGTGGCTCTGTCTCTCAGGAGCCCCCAGAAGTCACAAGTGGCTGCAGGGAGGGCAAGGGGGCTGGGCCGGGGGCAGGACCCTGCAGAGTGGAGTGAGGAGGGCCGTCTGCAGCACAGGGCTCCTGCGGCGGCCAGGAGCAGCAGTGTCCCCACCCAGGCTCCGCTCCATCCACAGGCAGGGAGCCAGGCCCACCCGCACGCACACACGCACACCTGGGCAGGTGTGCTTCAGCACGGGCACACTCACTCACGTGCAGCACACTCACCCACACGATGCACACGCGCTTGCTCAGGGGTCTGGGAGCTCAGCGGAGCCTCGGGCACCCTCTCCCCCTCTGGCCCAGGCTGGGCAGCATCCTGACTGCCCCCCACCTGTCCCATGCGGCTGACAGGCTCCCAGATCAGACTCTCCAGCCAGGGCTCCGGACGGGGCCCGGGATCTCGAACCTCGGCCTGGCTGAGCAGGCCGTGCAGGGACAGCCGGGGACCCCTGCACATCAAGGCCCGGGGGGGGGGGCACTCACCGATGAAGGACACGGCCTTGGTGTTGATGATGCCGCTGGGCAGCAGGTGGAAGTCATACTCCTTGCCGTCCACCACCACGGTGTGGCCAGCGTTGTTGCCCCCCTGGGGACAGAAACCCACTGAGTGTCTAGGAGCCCCCGGGCTTGGGCCACCCTGGGAGAGCCGCCCTGCACCCAGCCCTGCTCCGGGCCTCCCAGCTCTGACGCGGGGCACTCAGGTCCTGGCCCCCAGGGATCGGGAGACACCGTCCAACCGGACTCCGGGAGTCTCTCCAGGGGCAGCTGGGCTCTGGTGCCGGTCTGGGGTGTGCTGGGTTCGTGCCCTGCTCGAGACCGGCCCAGGCTGCTTCCAGCACCCGCACTGTCTTGTGGGTACACGCCAAGACCCCCAGGTGTCTCAGTGCAGCCTGAAGCTGGGGCGCGCACAGAGCCCCTCTGGGCCTCCTCTCATGCAGAAGTGAGGGGCCCCACTGCCGCACCCCACACAGACAGTTGGGGGACACGTGCTGTCTCGGACGAGTGGGGCCAGTGCTCCTCACCCCCAACAGCAGCTCCCCTTTAGGCCCACACCTTCCCCTTAAGAATAGAACGAAAAAAGAAATTTTGAGGCCAGCCCTATTCTGGGGGACACCAGGCCACAGGAGCCCCTTTGTGGAACCTTTGTTGACGTGGGCTGGGGCTGGCAGGAGAGGGCCCGACAGAGGGAGGCCCGGCCTGCAGCCCCATGTCCTGCCACTGGAGGGCACTGTGGTCCCTGGGGCCTGGGCCCTCAGACCCCGGGGCTGCCCTCCCTCCTGGGTCCCCACAGAGAGCAAGCAGAGCCCTGGGGAGGGGCACACGCCTGCTGGGGCCCAGACTGTGGACCTGCCCAGCCCGGCCCCACCTACCTGCCCCAATCTACCACAGACAGGCGCCCGATGGGGACTCCTCCCTGCCACACCCGGTCTTGCGGAGGGAGTCCTGGCTGCAGGCTGAGGAGCATCAGCACCCCCCCACCCCCACCCCCACAGGGCCCCGTAGGGCCCCGCAGGGTGGGGCCCTCATTGCCTTTCCTTGCCCACCCCGGGCAGGCTGAAGGACACCTGCTCCCCGACCCCTCCTGGGGCACCGGCTGCTTGCGCTTCATCTGGACAGACTGCCTCTCTCAAAGGTCCCCCTTAAACAGCTTGGGTGGGCCACCGGGCAGTGAAAGGCAGACTCGGGGGACCTCAGGCCTCGCATCGCTAACCGAAGTGGGCTGGAGCCCAGCCCTCCACCCCTGCTCCCCTCAAGGGCCCCCCTGGAAACCCATCCCACCAGGGGTCCCAGAGACGGGTATCCTGCTCATGACACATGTGGGAGGTCCCTCTGGGTGCCCCCATGCTGCTGCCCCAGGGTGTGAAGGCCTGTTCCCAGGTGACCCCACATGCCTGGGGTCACACGCCTGGGGTCACCGCTGTCCAGGTGTGCGTCCCGGTGGCCCTCCAGGTCCCACAGCTCAACCCCACGGGTGGGCCGCTGCTCTCCAGGGGCGTGGCTGTGGAAACGGCCACGTTCGGGGGGAAACGGGTGCCGGAGGAGTGTCCGGGGCCTGGGACCTAGGAGGGTGCCCCTCGGGTGAGGATGGCAGGGCATTGGGCCTTGGGGGCTCAGGACGGAGCCCGTGCTGGGAGGGGAACTGGGCGGCCCCCGGGGCTGGGAGGGGGATGCAGATACAGGGAGGGGGAGATGGGCCTTCCAGGAGACCCTCTGCCCTGGGCTGCTGGTTCAGGCCGTCAGAAGGGACAGCTGGCAGTTCAGACGCCCACGAGCGACCGACAGGCCTGGGGGTCCCTGCCCCTCCCGGGGATTCCATCCTTGCTCCGCCCTCCAGAGGTTCTCCACATGGAGCCACACCCACAGGAGGGGCAACCTGGGGGCGTGGCCTCCAGGGACAGAGGGGGAAACTGAGGCCCCCAGAGAGGGGAGCTGGCGGCAGAGCCCAGGCCACGCTGCCTCATTCCCTGCCCAGTGCCCAGGGCCGCATGACAGCCTCGGAGCACCCCACCTTTGTTTGGGGTAAACACGGGCACTTAGGGACAGGCACCAGCCGCCGTGGACCAGTGGGCATCAGATGACCCCTGCCAGCTGCAGGCCGGGCCTCAGCCCGCAGGCCACTCCCAGGGGCATGAGCCAGGCCGGATGCAGAGCCCAGGGCCTGCTCACTGCAAAGGCCGAGGGGACCCTGCCAGAGACCCTGGCCTGTCCTCCCCTAGGGCACACGTGGCAGGGACACCCCACCTGCCCTCCTCAGGCTTTGGCCCAGCTGCCGTCTGCAGGCCCAAGAAGTGGGCCAAGGGCCGCTCGGACTGCAGGCTGGTTTACAACACCATCTGGAGAGGGCAGCTAGCCCAGGGTCCCACAGGAGATGCGGGACAGCCTGTCCCAGCCCAGCCTGGCCTCCGAGGAGGGGCCCTTGCCTCCTGGGCTGCTCTGGGCCTCCCCATCCCAGGGGGGCAGGTTCCAGAGGCTCTGAGTCCGGTGCCCCCTGACGGTGAGCCAGGACCATCCCAGGACCAGGCAGCCGAGGCTGTTCCCACACCTCAGCCTCACCGTCGGCTGGAGCCACACCCCCGGGGACCGGTGGGCAGTGGGGGCTGGCAGAGCGGCCGGCCTCGGCCTCGGCCGAGGTGCAGCCGGGGGTCGGGCACAGCCCTCAGCCCTCCCCAGGGCGCGGAAGCCCCTCCCACTCCCACTGTCCCCTGCTGGGCCTGGCCTGGCACGCAAAGTCCCCTGTGGACACCAGCTGCCTCCCTGATGTCACGGATCTAAGAAAGGGGGGCTAGCTCACTCTCAGACGGGAAGAGGACCAAGGCCGAGGCTGGCCCACTCAGAAATCTGACCAGCTTGACCTTTCCTGTCCCTGCAGGCATTTAGCCAGCTCAGGCCCAGCCACGGGCACAGCCTGTCCCCAGAGAGCATCAGTGGTGACCCTGGTCCATGCAACACATACCTGGGGCGCCCCCCACCCCACCCTGCCTCTGGAGAGCCTAGTCACCTTGTATGACCTCTGCCACCCTCCTTGGCACCCCAAGGCTCATGCAGCCCTGACATCCGACCTTGATGTCCCACTAGGGGCCCCTCTCCACGCCCTCCTCACTCCCTTGTTTCACGCTGGGGGGCACCCCTGGATGGAGCACACACTGGGTGCCTTATCACCCACACACATCCCGGCCTTGCTCTCTGGTATCTGTCCCTGACCTCATACCCCACTATCTGCTTCGAGGCCTCCACTGACCTCTGACCCACCAGGTTCCCACCTCTCACACCCACTCAGCCACCCCACCCCACAGGTCTCCTTGAGGCTTGAGATGGCAACCACGGCCACCAAGTGCCCACTTGGGCCAAGCTCCCAGAGAGGTGCCGGCCTGGCCTTTCTCCCGTGATGTGGCCCCCAACCCATCAGCACCAGCTCACTCGGGACAGGGACCAGCTCTTCCACCGGGGTCCACCCCCCACACTGGCCCCTGTGCAGGACGAGTGGACAGAGGGAGCAGACAGGTGAGCAGGGGCAGGGTGTGGGCAGGGGCGCCGGCAGCTCCTCAGGGGCCATGAGCTACCAGCCTGGGGTGGACAGGGTCCTGGTTGGGAGGAGACTCGGGGCTGGGGCCATGGGTTTTATCCAGATCGCGCATGGCTCACTCAGGGTTGGCGCTCACTCAGGGTTGGCGCTCAGGGCTGGCGCTCAGGGCTGATGCTCAGGGTTGGGGCTCTGGGTTGGAGTTCAGGGCTGGCGCTCAGGGCTGATGCTCAGGGTTGGGGCTCTGGGTTGGGGCTCAGGGCTAGCGCTCAGGGCTGGGGCTTAGGGCTGGGGCTCAGGGCTGGGCTCTGGGCTGGGGCTCAGGGCTGGGCTCAGGGCTAGCGCTCAGGGCTGGGGCTCTGGGCTGGGCTCAGGGCTAGCGCTCAGGGCTGGGGCTCTGGGCTGATGCTCAGGGCTGGTGCTCAGGGCTGGCGCTCAGGGCTGGGGCTCAGGGCTAGTGCTCAGGGCTGGGGCTCAGGGTTGGGGATCTGGGCTGGCGCTCAGGGCTGGCGTTCTGGGCTGGGGCTCAGGGCTGGGCTCTGGGCTGGGGCTCAGGGCTGGGCTCTGGGCTGGGGCTCAGGGCTAGCACTCAGGGCTGGGGCTCAGGGCTGGGGCTCAGGGCTGGGCTCTGGGCTGGGGCTCAGGGCTGGGCTCTGGGCTGGGGCTCTGGGCTGGGGCTCAGGGCTGGGCTCAGGGCTAGCACTCAGGGCTAGCACTCAGGGCTGGCGCTCAGGGCTGGGGCTCAGGGCTGGGCTCTGGGCTGGGGCTCTGGGCTGGGCTCAGGGCTGGGCTCAGGGCTGGGCTCTGGGCTGGGGCTCTGGGCTGGGCTCAGGGCTGGGCTCAGGGTTAGTGCTCAGGGCTGGGCTCAGGGCTGAGCTCAGGGCTGGGGCTCTGGGCGGATGTGTGACCCTGGCTCCCCACCCGTGCAGTGCTGCACCGTGCTTGGTGCCCACTGGCAGGTTCCATTCCTTCGTTCATTCAACCTCAACCAAGACTTGCCCTCTTCCCGTGAGGCCTTGGAGCAAGGCCTGGGACAAAGGAGGTCATGGGACACAGGACATCGGGCCGTTGAGGAGAAGGGAGGCTGCCCAGAAACAGCCCTGGAGCGGAAGAAAACGGCGGGAGGAACCCGGGGCATGAGATGGGACCACAGGCCCCCAAACAACCGAGATGAGAGCAAAGCAAGTACAGCTGTCCCCCGGGAAGGCCCAGGGCCAGGTGACAGGCCACTGGGGCTGGCTTGCTGTAGCCCTTTCAGCCAGCTGCCCAGACAGACTGCAGTCCCAGCCTGCTCGGCCCTCGGCTGCTCTGTCCGAGGCTCTCTGCCGGGATGGGAGTGGCCAGGGCCGGCCTGCTGACGCAGGTGCAGAGCTTGTCCCAGAACCATCTCCACAGCTGGAAGGGCAGCCCAGCGGCAGCAGGACGAGGGTATCGACGGCCACTGCAGTCACCTCGAGGAGGGGAGACAGGCCCCGGTGGGCAGCAGTTTATGTGGAGGGCTGTGGGCATCCCTGAAGCAGACTGGCCGGAGGAGGGCGCCCTGTGCTAAAGTGGGGGTGGGGGGCAGCCCCCTGACCACACACTGCACTGGGCTTCGGGGCACAGGGGCTCCTCGCTCACTCAGCAGGGGTTGGGGGCTGCTTCCTGCACCTGGGCTGTCAGTGGGGAGGGCAGGGTGTGCTTTCCACGGCTTAGGACACAGAGGGGTGGGGACGTTCCAGAGTCCAGGGAGCTCCCAGGAGTCCACTGTCACATCAGGCAGAGGGAGTCCAGCTGTTGAGGTTCCCCTTCTCAGGGGACTCTGAGCCCCAGTCTCCAGGCGGGAGCTCAGGAAAGGCCACAGTACCGGGGAGAAGGAGCCCAGGGGGCAACCAACCCCTTTTTGGGCAGCATTCTTGCTGGTGGCTCCAAACCCCAGTACCGCCAATGCATACACCCCAAAGCCAACCCCTTTGCACCCTGGGTGACCTCTGTCAGCCACAGCAGCAAGCATGGCTCGGAGGCCCTGGTGGGGGGCAGTGGCCCCTAGGGAGCGCCCAGTGACCGTCACCCAGCAGCAGGCAGAGGTCCTGCCCTGGGCCCTCAGGGGACAGAGCCTGTGTCTGGCCTCCTTGGTGGCACTGCCGCTGCTGGTCACCCTGGCCAGAAGTCCCTGGCCCCTCCCTCTCCCTCTGTCCAGCCAGGACCCTGCCTTCCTCAGGTCCTCCCCTGGCCTCTGCCACCTCTCCGCAGACAGCCCAGGGTCACCTCCCAGAGACGCTGTGCCTGCCCACTTACCCCACACTTCCCAACACCCAGCCCCTCCGTGTGTGGGTCAGCCAGCCCCAAGCCTGACCCAAACAATGAGGAATAGGGGTGTCCCAGTTGTCCTCAAACCCCCCGGGGGCTGGGGTCGCTGCCCCCTCTCCCACTCGAGGGCCCAGTGGCATGCCCCTGGCACACTCACCCCCTGAGGATCGGGTGTCCCCAACTCAGCAGGACTTGTATTTATAGCTCTGCCCTGGCCCACTGCAGGGGTGGGGGTGGGCCTGGGTGGGGGTGGGGGTCTCTGGGGGAGGAAGGGGGAGGGGCGTCTCGCGCAGGGGGAAGGTGTGAGCGCCTGTGAGTGGGTGTTGTGTGCATGCCTGAGTCGGTGGAGGTGGCCCTGGGAAGGTGTCCCCGGGAGGGAAGGGCTCCAAGAGGCGTGTGGGAGTCTGGGTAGGGTGGGGGCTGGCTGGATGGGGAAGGCCGGCGCACCTGGCAGCGGCTGATGATGTCGGCGTCCGTGGCCAGCAGGTCCACCACCTTGCCTTTGCCCTCGTCCCCCCACTGCGCGCCCAGCACCACCGTCACCCGGGAGCCGGTCGCCGCCGCCTCCTGCTGCAGCCGCCCCCGCTTGACGCCGCCGGCGCCGGGGGGCCGGTCGTTGGAGGCCCGGGTCGCAGACATGCCGCTCGCTGGTCCGCTGCGCTGGGCCGCCCGAGAGCCCGCCCGTCCCGGCCATTAAAAGGCGCGGCCCGGGGCGGGGGGCGGGCCCGTGACGCTCGTGACCTCCGGACCCGGTCCCGCCCCCGCCGCCGCCGGAGTCGTTGGCCTGCGGGCGCTTTGGGGCGCACGGGCAGACGGCGCGCTCCGGGGTCCCGCCCGCGAGGGCGACGGCTCCCCCTGCCCCGGGGCAGGCCTGGGCGCTGCGAACCCACCCCGCGGCCCGGACCTCGGGATCCAGAACTGCGGGGGGTCTCCTCCCGCTCCGACGTGCGGCTCGCAAAAGGGGAGCCCCGTCGCTGCGTCCCACCTGGAGGGTCCGCCTGCTCGGGGGTGGGGGTGCGCACCTGCCCTCGGTGAGCCCGGGTCCTCTGGACCGGCGCGCGCGCCCTCTGGTGGCCGCGGAGAGGACAGCTGTCCCCTCTGCGCGCAGGGGCCGCCGCCCAGCAACAGGACACGCTGTGGCCTGCCCGCGGGAGCCCCAAGCGGGCTCCATCCGAGAGCCGGGCAGCCCTGGGGAGCAGCCAGAGACGCACCGAGAGGTCCCACACCAGGTCTCTTTCCTGCTCCGGCCTGTGGGGGGACTGGGTGCCCAGCCAGGCTGTGTGACAGACAGTAGGCTGGGCTCTTGAGTTCCCAGCTGGGTGCACTGCCTGAGCCCACACATATCCCACAAGTGGACTCTGGCTTGGGCCTGGGAGAAAGGACCAGCGATGGGGTCCCTGGGGACAGCAGTGCCCTACGGGGCCCTAGCCCCCCCCCCCCCTCCCTGTGGGCCCAGAGCCCATCCACTCACCTCTGGTCAAGGCTTGGAGAGCAGAGGGTTTGTGGGGGACTCCTGGTTCTCAGGCTGGGGACAAGACACTTCCCAGGAAGAAAGGAAGTCACCTTGGGCTTGTCACACGAAGTCACCCATGGAGCATGAAGGATTCAAGCCCCTTGCCTGGCCGGTGTGGCCCAGTGGATGGAGCACCGCCCATGGACTGAGAGGTCCCTGTTGGATTCCCAGTCAGGGCACACGCCCAAGTTTCAGGCTCGATCCCCAGTAGGGGGCGTCCAGGAGGCAGCCGATCAGTGCCTCTCTCTCACATTGATGTTTCTACCTCTCTATTCCTGCTTCTCTAAAATCCAATTAAAACTTATTAAAAAAAAAAAAAAAAAAAAGGACTCGAGCCCCAGCAAGGGCTGCACTGCCCATGACTCTCCTCCTCCTTTGTCCCTTGCTCCAGGTGGGGCCCCTGGCTCAGACCCTGGGCAGGTCCCTTGGCCCCTTGGTGCCCCAGACCCTCTTCTCACTTGGGGACACCAATAGTTCCTTTCCCCCAGCACTGCTGGAGGCAAACGCCACAGTGTGGTTTACACGCAGAGAGCGGGGTATCATGTCCACAGCTTCCTGGTGACGGTGGCAGGCTGGGGACAGGGAGAGCAGCCCACCGGCCACCAGCCGGGGAAGCAGCTAGAGCAGGGGCAGGAGGGCTGGGTGTGAGGCTGTGACGGTCACAAGCAGGCAGAGGAGGGGTGTCCAGAGGGGCTGTGTCGGGGCTCGGGTGGGAGGGCATTGGGATCACAATGTGGAAGAGGAAGGGGCTGGACTTGGCAGGAAGGACCAAGAGGGTTCTAGAAGTTTCTGTCTGCTGGCTTCCAGGCGAAAGGAGCCGAGCCTTTGCATGCCCACCAGGAGCCACGCAGTTCACTGGAGCCACAGCCCTGGGGGGGGGGTGGGGGTGCTTCCCTCTTCCCACCCCTGGGGTGGGCACTGGCTCTGAGCCTCCCTGGGGGAGACCCAGATGGGGACCCAGGGGACGCCGCTGGGGTTTGACAGGCTCTGCAGGGCCGCATGCTGGCTGTGGCACCAAGTCCCCCAAGCCGGGGCCTATAAATAGTCAGCAGGCCTGAGGGAGTCTGGCTTTTCTATAAACAACCCTGTCCAGGCCCAACAGCTGGGGCCCTGCCAGTCACATGGCCCAGCCCGAATTAGAACCCTCCCCCACCCCCCTGCAGTGGCCCTTTGCACATCCCACCAGGAAGTACAAGTCACCCAGTTCGGGGGCCCGCTGTGTGACCTCCGGCACGCCCTCGGGGAGCACGTGGGTCACCGTGGGACGTCGTACATGGTGGCCAGGACACACCTGCACACACGCCTGCACCTGGAACTTGAAACAGTGCATAGCAGGAGAGCAGGGTGCAGCCGCTTGGGGGTCAGTGTGGCAGCTTCTTTTTTTGTCTTTTCTTTTCTTTTTTTGTTAATCCTCACCCAGGAAAAATTTTCCATTGATTTTGAGAGGGAGAGAGAGGGAGAGGGAGAGACAGAAACATGGATGTGAGAGAGACACATCGATTGGCTGCCTCCCACATGACCCTGACTGGGGCTGGGATCGAACCTGCAACCCAGGTACGAGCCCTTGACTGGGAATGGAACCCGAGACCCTTCGGTGAGCGGGCAGACGCTCTAACCACTGACCCACTCAGGCCAGGGCAGTTTGGCGATTTCTTATTTTTTTTTTTTTATCCTCACCTAAGGACATTTTTGCGTTCATTTTCAGATAGAAGCGGAAGGGAAAGGGGGGGGGGGAAGAGAGAGAGAAACATCGATGCGAGAGAGACACATCGAGTGGCTGCTACCCAGACGATCCCAACCGGGGCTGGGGACAAACTGCAACTGAGGCACGTGCCCTTAGCGGGAACTGAACCTGGGACGGACTCTCTGGTCCCCGGGCAGATGCTCTAACCGCTTGAGCCAAACCAAACCGGCAATTTCTTTTCTTTTTTTTTTTTAATCATCCTCACCCGAGGACATTTTTCCATTTTTTGTTCAGGGAGAGTGGGAGGGGGAGAGAGAAAGAGAGAGAGAGAAACATCGTCGTGAAAGGGACACATCAAGTGGTCACCATCCGCACAACCAACCAGGGCCGGGGACAAACTGCAGCCAAGGCATGTGCCCTCAGCGGGAACCAAACCCAGGTCTCTCTGGACCGCAGGCCGATGCTCTAACCGCTGAGCCCAACCAGCCAGGGCCAAACCGGCAATTTCTTAAAAAACTAAACATAAACGTAGTCTCTGACCCAGCCACCCCCTGCTCGGAATCCCCGGGAAACAAGCTCGTCTACAGACGGGCAGTGAGTGGTGTCCCGGCCGCTGGGAACAGCCAGGCCCATGTCGGGCCAGCGAGAGCAGTGTGCTCCCCACGCAGGGGCACTGGGCAGCCATGCAGGGCGCCGGAGAGCTGGCGCCTTGTAACAGGGGCTTCGGAAACCCACGGAACGGAAGGGCCAGCCCCGAAGCCCACGTGCTGTGTGAACCGTCCACAGAGCAGACAGACAGGCGGGGGTGACGGGCCGCGCAGGGGACTTCTTGCAGGTGAGGGAAATAGCTCAAGACTGGACTGTGGTTGGAATTTTACGACCTTGTGAATCTGCTCAAGTCACAGGTGAGTTATGTATGTGAGCTGTGCCCCCAGAGGGCTGACGTGGGGCCTGTGGGCCACCTGCTGTCCCTCTCCCGGTGCTCTGTGCTGCAGGCCCCTGCCCCCCACCAACCCCCCATGTGCCCTGCAAAGCCAGCCATCCCTCGCCCCGGCTACCTGTCTGTCCCTCTCTCCATCCGTCTATCCCTCCACCCACATCACCACAGCTGTCAGGAGGGGCAGGCCCCCACGTTCACCCACGGCTTCCGAATGCCGCGCTGCCAGCGCAGGGCCAGCTCCGTGATTTATTGGTCCGAGTCCTCCAGCTTCTACACTGGGCGGTTTCCAGGCCTGGCAGGCTGCCCCTCGCTGGGTGGGGCAGGCAGGACCGGCCGCGGCCCCCTGGCTGGATCCTCCCTGTCCCTCGGCCTCCTCTCCCCGGGAGCAGCAGGCCAGGCAGTCCTGTGACAGGCGCCATGTCCTGGCGGTGGGTGGGCAGGCCTGGCACGGCAGCCAGGGTAGACCTCCCCGCTCTCAGGGCTGAGCACACGGGGTGCGGCCGACTCCACGGGGTCCTCCATGGCTCTGAGCAAGGGACCCAGTCCTGCCCACTAGCCTGCTTCTGCCCAAGGCCTAGGGTCCTTCACCCACCCACCATGCCCAGCCGAGGTAGCACAAACAGCAGCAGCACAGTCATGTTTTCGTTAAAATCACTCTGTTCCAGCCCAGCTGAGCATGTTGGGGGGCAGGGCAGGGGAGGGAGAACGGGGTCCAGTGGGAAGGCACTGGGGGCTCCAGCCCTGCCTGGCTCCCACGGCTTCGGGGGAGGGTCTATACGGAGCTGTCTCCAGGGCACTGGAAAGCAGGTGCAAGCTTGGGGGTGCTGGGGACGCAGCCACCGCACCCTCCGCAGGCGGTACCATGCGCATGCGGGGCGGCCGCAGCTTCGGAAAGCAGATCGTGAGGGCTGGGGCGTGCGGGCCGTCCAGGAAGGTGCCAGGCGGGCTGGCCTGGTGCCTGCGGGGTCCCGGCCACGGCACCCCAGCCGGCTTCGGGAGGCCACGTCCCTGGCTGGGTAAGGCACAAGTTCCGTTTCCCAGGGCCCAGTCCCAGTCTGGCTCCGGATGCTCCCTCCGCTCAGCAGTGTGTACGGCGGCCCACTTCTGTGCAGGGGTCGCCCGCGGGGCCCCTCAGTTGGCTTTGGGCTTGGGCCTGAGGCCTGTGGGGAGGGGAAGGAAATGCCGTGAGGAGCAGCCTCGCTGGGGGCAGCGCTGGGGTGCCCGCGTCGGGGTCCCCACTGCCCAGGGGGCTGTGCCATGTGTCCCTGGGTCCACTCTGCCCCAGGCCCTTTCTCCAGCAGCAAGACCCCAGGTGGGAGGTGCTGGTGCCTGCGCACCTGCCGGCTGGGTCTCCCGAGGAGGGCGCGAGCTGCGTGTGCTCTCCTGTCTACGCTCGAGGACCTGCTGTCACCTCCGGTCCCTGAGCTCCCGCAGCTGCTTCTGCACCAGGCCCCCAGCCCCCCACTGGACTCCTGCCTGCTCTCTCCAGCCGAGGCCTGAGGGCACCTGGGCCCACCCCGTGGCTGCTGCCACCTGCCCATCCAGTGCCCTTGGCACTCTCCGGTCCAGGGCTCTCGCTCCCTGTCTCTCCAATGCTCCACCTCTACGGCCACTGGGCACTGTCCCTGGGGGCTGTGGGCAGCCTCGGGTTTGAGAACCACTGCTCAGAAGACAGGGCGTGTGACAGAAACTGTCAGAAGTCCCCGGCAGTGGCTGTCAGTCCCCTCTGCACGGCAGAGTGCAGGACAAACGGCCGGGTGCGGGGCACAAGGGAGGGGCAGAGGAGGCAGCACGGGCCTGGAAGTGTCACCACGGACAACCGTGATGGGTCACCCACACGCGACACTCAGAGTTACGAGGGGAGAAGGAATGGAGAACGGGCGTTTCGCGGCCACGAGGCCCTGCCTGTCCTGCGCACAGCAGCTCGCAGACCCGCTCACTGCCCAGGACAGGCCTCCAGAGAGGGTGCTGCAGACCCCACCGAGGGGGTGGCCCTGGCAGCCTGTCCTTGGGACTGTCCCTGTCCCTCACTGCCTCCCTGCAGACGTGAGTGGCCAGCACCAGGGCCAGAGGAGGGCTAGGGTATGTCCTGTGGACAGACCCCAAGTAAAGGTGTCACCCCAGAACATGGGGAGGGTGTCAGTAAAGCTCAGGGTCAGGCAGAGTTAGGGACGGGCAACCTCAGCCTGTCCTGCAGGCCCAGGAGGCCAGCTGCCCCTCCCCCAGGCCCCGAGCCTTGCTCCCAGAGCACCCACGTGGGCCCTGTCCACCCCGCCCTCTCCAGGCCACTTGCCCAGCGGGCTGCTCTGAGGTTGCACAGCAGAGGAGACACCAGCTAAGCAAGGCAGGCTCCTGCCCCCAGAGAGGAGAGGCCGCGGGCCAGGCGGCTCCGCCACAGGGCACAGAAAGGCGGGCGCTTGCCGAGGCCCAGGCGGGCTGCAGGGAAGCCGGGTTAGTGCCTGGGAGGGCCGGGCAGTGCCGCCACCGCCACCGGTTAGTGCCGAGCGCCAGGCGGCGTACCTACCTTACTGGATCACACAGAATCTTTTTGTTTTACTATCGTCAGAGTCAGGGGCGACCTCTGCTTTCAAATAAAAGAGACGCACTCAACCGCCGAGCCTGCCGAGCACGAGGGCCGAGCCGGGGTGTGGACGCTGAGCCGGGACGCAGCTGCACCCCAGCTCCCCACCCCGCGGGCAGCCTCCCGGTACGGCGTGTGGGCAGCGGTTAGTAGATTAGGGTGCAGCGATGCGGGCGGTGGCCCCCAAAGCTGCCCCTCCTGGGGTGGAGGCGCTGCTGACTCCTCTCCTGCAGGGCTCGGGGGCCCTGGGAATCACTCACTCTGGGGGGGAAGGGGACCTCTGGTGCAGGCAGAGGCCCAGGGTCCTGGCACAGAAGGACGAGCCTGACCACACGCCGCCTCGAGCCCTGTGTGACTCGCCCACCCAGGGCCTGCTTGGGGGACTGGAGTGACGCCAGGGAGCCCACATTACCTTCCTGGGTCCGCAGCGGGCGCCTCTTCCTTCGCCTGCCCGTCCCCTTCGAGGCCCGGCCCTGGGCCCTGGGGAGGGTGCTGGACCCTGAGGAGTCGGTCACTGAGTCCTCAGAGAAGGACCTGTCCAGGGACGTGTCCAGGGACGTGTCCAGAGCAGAATCCTGGGCCATGTCCGGCTTGTCCCCGTCCCCGCCAGGGCCTGCTGTGGGACAGCCCGCTCCCTGGCCGCGGGCGGCTCTGTCCTGCGGCCCCTCTCCTGTGCTGTCAGCTTCGGCCTGGCAGACGCCCTGGGGGCCTGTGAGGTCCTCAGCATCCTGGCTCGAACCCAGAGCCCCAGTGGGCTTGTCAGTGGAGAACTGGAGGGGCTTCAGGGCCTGCGCATCCCCTAGTGCCACCGGCCACGCTGCTGCAGGGGGCTGGGCACCCGGGAGGTCCTCCGTGGACAGGACGTCGCTGGCATCGACGTACCAGGAGGAGCGCCTCTCCTGGGGTGGGGGGTTGTCCTCCGACGGGGCTCCCGTGGGCTCCGGGCTGGGGGTGGTGGCGTCCACGAGGTCCCAGTCCTGAGGCTGCCTGGCTGCCGCCACGTCAAGACCAGGCCCAGAGGCGGGGCAGCTGGGGCCTCCCGCGGGGTCACTGGAGGCCGCTGTGGATGGAGTACACGTAGGTGGACGGCAAGAAACCCCCAACCATTCTGATGACACCCTGCTGCGAATAAGCCCAAGCGGGGCCCTTCCTCCATTCCAGCTTCTAACCCCAATGCCCCCCATCCCCAGGTGGCCTTCCCTGGTGGCCTCCAAGCGTGGTTCCACAGGGCAGGCCCGGCCTCCGCATCCTGGGTCTGTCCACAGGGGAACTGAGCCCCAGGGGCATCTGTCTGTGGGCCCTCTGGCCCCATCTCTCCTGCCCACCTCAGGGGCTGGACAGATGGCTGTCCTGCCAGCAGAGACTCGGAAACACTGTCAGGGCAAGTGGTCCCTCCAGCCCTGCCTCATGCTGTCCCCTAGCTCAGGGCAGCAGGTGACACGAGGGGGCTCCCTCGTGAGGTCAGGGAGGGCTTCCTGAAGGGAGGGAGGTACTGGGCCACAGGCTGGCACAGGCGGCGGGCTGCCGGCAAAGGTCGCTGTGCAGAGGTAGGCGAGGGTCTCACCAGGTGCTCTGTCCCTCGGGGGGTCTGTGGTGGCCAGCCTGCTGCCCCCTTCTCCATCCCCTCGGCCCCGGGCCGTCTTCCGCAGCCGGAAGCCCTTCCTGATGTCGGCCAGCAGGGCGTCGATGACACACACCTCCTCCTGCTTCTTGCCTCCCTTCCTGACTGGGAAGCCCCAGAACTCTCAGCGAGGGGCTCACAGCGTCCCCAGGGCCCACCCGCTGGCCTGGAGAGACGAGCCACAGCAGGCTGGGTGGCCCCGCAAGACTGAGGAGGGAGGACGGTGGCCACAGCGTGAACGGGCTGCCCGACCCCGCTCCTGCCCGGGCCTCACCAGGCTTCCCGTCCTCGCCCCGCGGCCTGCGGGCCTCCTCCTCCTCCAGCTGCCGCTTCCTTCTCTCGGCCTTGGCTGCCTGCTCCTGCCGGTCCTTGTTCTCCTGCAGGGCAGACCGGAGCCTGTGACCCCAGCCCCTGGTCACCGGGCGCATGCCTGTGCCGCCCACAGAGCCAGGGGCTGCGGGCCCGCCCTGGGCTCTAGGCTCTGACCCGGACCACCTTCAGGGCTCGGATGAACAGGTCCCGGAAGGTCTTCATGGTGCTGAACGTGTCCTCCAGGGACAGCTGCTGGGCGTCCTCACACAGGTAGTTGGCCAGCTCCAGCTTCTTCTGCTCTATGGCCTCGAACAGCTCCTCCAGCGCCTGGGAGGCCTCGATGCTGGCCTGGGGGCACGGGCACGGGCTTGTGAGGGCCCGTGGTGACACCCGCTGTCACAGGGAGGCACTACGCGCTGTGGGAGGGTGATGGTCTCTGTGCAGGGCCCGGGCTCTGGGTGCTGTGGCCTCGCAGGACCCACGTTGGGACCAGGCTCTCCTGCGGGTCCCTCACTCTGCCCCTCCCCTCCCCACAGGCACCTGCCCCACCCGGCGCCAGGCCCGGCAGGCACCGCGCCCGCCCCGAACCCAAGGCCCTGCCCCGCACTCACCTGGAGGCGCTGGGCGTACTGCTCCTGCACCTCGGGGACGGAGGACGCCACCTTCCGCTCCATGTCCAGGAGCTTCTTCAGGTTGCTGCTGGACTCTGAGCGGATGATCTCCAGGTTGATCCTGAAAGGCAGGCGGGTCCGGTGACAGCGGAGAGCAGCCTGGCTGGACGGGGTGCAGGCCCTGCATGCCGCAGGCTCCGCCGAGCGCTGGGTGGCCCAGCGGTGTGGGGAGCTGCCCCCACAGCAGGTGGGCGCAGGGGGGGGGTCGCGACCAGACCACCCGTGGCAGCCAGCCCCGCACTGCGCTGCCCCTCCGGGCTGCGTGACTCCACGAACGGCCCCTCTTCTTGGGCGGCAGGACCTGGTCTGTACATGGTGGTGGCACAGCCCTGCTCAGGGGTTAGCCTTCGAAGAGGCAACGGTAGACCAGCCCCCAGAGTGACCATGGCCAGCAGTCCTTTGCCCATTTTCTCCTCTAAATCACACAGGGACAGGCCATGGAGGCCAGTGTTCTACTGGGCAGTGGTTTTTGGGGGGACCTGGGGCTGTCCTGCAGCCGTGAGACCCAGCCTGGTCAGCCACCTTACTGGCGGGGACTGGAGGAGGGGGCCTGGTTCAGTGTGCTGCCCCGGGGCGCGGGCACCTACCCTGCTGCCTGGGCGGGCTGCTCCAGGTCTCGGGGCAGCTGCAGGAGGCCTGGGTGGTTCTTCTCCGCCTCCTGCAACAGCACGTGTCCAGGGAGATTGCTGTGGCCACCCGGCTCAGGTATGCCCTAATCCATCTCCCTGCGCCCCCAGCTAAGGCCCATGCCCTCCGGAAGGCCTGGGCAGGCTGGGCCTCCCACCGTTTCCCTGGGCCGGGATGGGAGCTGCAGGAGGGGGCGGGGGAGCTGGGGCTTGAATGGGGGCTCCCAGGGGGGCGGTCCGTTTTGAAGCCCCCCCCAGCGCCCCTTCCCCGCCCCCGCACCTCCAGCACGTGGTGCAGCAGCGTCACACGGCTCTGCTGGGACTTGGTCTCCGTGAGCTTCAGCAGCGTGCCGATCTTGAAGCCATCGGCGTCCCCGGTGTGGCTGCCCTGCGAGGGACAGGGGTGAGTCTCCCTGCCTCCCGGGGGGGGGGGGGTGCGGGGGCCGGGGCGCAGCCACTCACGTAGTTGAGGAAGTTCCCGATCCTCAGAATCAGCTGGCAGAAGACAGGCAGCTGGTGGCTGGTGAGCAGGCCTGCGGGAGGGCGGGCTCAGGGAGGGTGCAGGCGGCCATCCACCGGCAAACGGGGGCTCGGGAAGCAGACCCCCAGCAGTGCTTCGGACTCCCCACCCGGGGCAGGTGGCCACCGCCCCTTCCATGGAAGAGACACGGCAGAACCTTCCAGACCCGTGGCTTCCCTGGTCCTCAGCTAAGCATCCCAGGGGACCTCAGGAAGGGGATGTCCCAGGGGATGTCCTGACTGTCCCCAGGGTGGGAGTGGATATCTGCTGCTGTCCCCAGCAGAGACGAGCTGCCCCTTGGTGGTGTCCAGGCCCATCCACACTCCTGCCACGGCTGCAGGGAGTCCCCACTAGGTAGTGGTGTGTGTCCCCGTGTGTACATATCTGTGCACACACCTGTGTGCCCACGCATGCATCTGTGTTCTTGCATGTACGTGCAGTGTGTGCCTCAGAACGGGTGGTCTGTGAGGTGAGGAGGGTCAGCACCCACAGGTGCGCTTAGGAACGGTGCAGATGCCGCGGCACAGGGGCTGGATGCCCCGCCCCCCGTGCTGGCCCCAGGGCCCCACTCACTCTCGCAGGCGGCGAGCACCAGCTGGGCCTTGGGGCGCACCATGTCCAGCACCACAGCCGTGCCCTCACACAGCAGCATGCACTCCACCCGCAGCTGGTAGCTGGGGCAAGAGAGGACGTCAGGGCCTGGGGCCCGACACACCCTTGCCCCGGGCCTGCAGCTCGGGGGCGGGGCCGAGGCCCGAAGAGTGGGCTCAGCCCAGGGCTGGGGGGTCCTACACCGTCACTGCTCAACGCACGTTCCCGGGCGGGGCCCAGAGGTGGACCCAGCAGGACAGGGCGGGGCCCAGGAAGGGGCGGGGCCCAGAGGTGGATCCAGCAGGACGGGGTGGGGCCCAGGATGGGGCGGGGCCCAAGAAGGGGCGGGGTCCAGAGGTGGATCCAGCAGGACGGGGTGGGGCCCAGGATGGGGCGGGGCCCAGAGGTGGATCCAGCAGGACGGGGTGGGGCCCAGGATGGGGCGGGGCCCAGAGGTGGATCCAGCAGGATGGGGCGGGGCCCAGGGAGGGGCGGGGCCCAGAGGTGGGGCCCAGGACGGGGTGGGGCCCAGGGAGGGGCGGGGCCCAGGAAGGAGCATGTCAGATCAGTGCTTGGTGCAGAGGGTGCCCGACTGCCTCCCTGTGGGGCATTCCTCCCTCTTTCGATGGGCAGGATTCTGGGTTGGGGTCTCCCAGGAAGGCCAGGGGGGCCCTGTCCAGTCCTGCCCCATGCTGCTGACCCTGCAGGCCCCTGGAGAGGCCCCACGGCTGGGTGTGTGTGAGTGAGGTGGGCACGGAGCCTGGGGTTGGTCCACACAGCCCTGCTCTGACCTCCAGGGCTGGGCCCAGCTCCTGCCCTTGTGCCTCCCCAGGCAGGGGTCTGAGCTCACCAGGGCACGCCCAGCAGGAGGAGGTAGAACTGGTCGGCGCTGGCCAGCTTGGCTCGGTCCTCGGTGAATGAACGGAGGTTTTCAATCTGCGGGGAGAAGGCCCCACGTGAGATCCCAGCTTCTGCTTCCCCACCCAGAGCCCCAGACTGCCCGGGGGCCTCACCCGCTCGCATCTGGGTCTGGTGGGTGTGCACTCTTGTGGGCCTTGTCCAGGGAGCTTGGGTGGGGCTGCCCCTTGGTGGACAGGAGCTGCTTGACCATCTCTTCCAGGGTGCATTCCTGCCCCTCCCCATCCCTGCTGGAAGCCCCACCCAGGGCCACCACCTCTCATCCCCACCCACCTCGTGCTTCTCCGGAAGGAGCTTGAGGAGCTGCTTGAGCACCTCCACATCGAACTTGGTGGTGTCCCCCGCACGGATCATCGCAGTGACCTCCTCGTTGGAGCTAGAGGGGGCAGGAGGATGCGCCAGGGTGGGGTGGGGTGGAAGAGAGACCCTGCCAGGCAGGTGCACACAGCCCTGGGCCCATACCCTCTGCTGGTCACAGCAGGGGCTCCTCCCACACCCATGAGTTTGGGGGGTACAGAGAAGGTGAGCCACCTGCCCAGGTCACACAGCAATGAGGCTGGGGCTGAATAACCCACACCCCATTGGCCAGAGTACCCTCTGCCTCCTCTTCTGGGCGACTGCTCAGGACACAGGCGGATGGCCCGGAAGCACCCAGTGGGCTCCGTGCAGGGGCCCAGGGGAGAACCCGGGGCTGGGAGGCAGGGCCAGGTCCTCACCCTGGCTTGGCAACCACCTGTCTTTGGCCTTAGGGGGTCTCAGCCGCTCTCTGGGTTTGTTTCCCCAGGGAGTCTGGACTGGAGGTCTCCAGGGCTCCCAGCTGGGACAGTCTGTGGCTGTCTTGGCCTGAGGTGGGCTGTGCACTTCCCAGGGGCGGCCTGCAGAGGGCACTGCGGAGCCCAGGGTACTCAGCTTGGGGAGGTTGGGCGGTGACCAGGAAGGAGGGCTCCATCCCCCAGCTCACCACTTGAACTGCTTCAGAAAGATGTTGAGGTTCAGGCTCTTCTTGGCATCCAGGAAGGTGATCTGGAAAACACCCCCCCCATCAGCTGGTACCCGGGGCAGTCCGGGGGTGGGGGGCACCGGGACCCAGGCTCAGGCCTCACCTCCTTGGGCTCCTTCCTGGCCGGGGCTGCCGCCAGCTCCTTGGGCTTGGCCACAGGGAAGGAGAAGAGCTGCTCGATGCTGGAGAAGTCAGGTTCCACCTCGGCTCCCAGGCTGCTCAGCGAGGCCCACATGGAGCTGTGTTCTGCAGGGGGGCACCCGTCAGGCTCAGCCACCTACTGTCCAGGCTGGCCGGTGACCTGGCCGCGACCTCTGAGCCCAGCACCCTGGCCCCCAGAATGACCAACACGCAGGAGCCTCAGCAATGTGGGGCTGTGGCATCAGACACACCAGCTTCAAAGGTGTGTGGGAGAAAAGGGTCCTCACGAGTGACTTTCGACCTCTTCCTGTCCCCTGCCGCCACCCCAGACCACACCGGCAGAGCTCAGGGCAGGACTGACTGCCCTGGCCCGGGGCCGGTCCATGCACAGGGCTGCAGGTGCCACCTGCCACTCCCCAGCAGGGCCAGCCCGCCCCAGACGGAAGCCACCTGCGGGGCCCGGGGTCCTCACCTCGTGCCACGTGGGATGGCAGCTTCTGCCAGTTCAGCTTCTTCATGCGCAGTGTGGGTGGGTTTACCTGCCGGTGGCTGGGAACCCAAGTGGAGCCCAGGCGGTGGTCCACCTGGGCCACAATGATCTCCTCTACGCCACCCACGGCAGGGGGGCCAGAGATGCCCGGCAGGGGTGGGGGTGGGGGTGGGCACCCCATGCCTGGGAGTGGTGGAGGTGCGGGCGGTAGGGTCCCACTAAGACCAGGCAATGGAGGTGGTGGAGGGGGTGGGGGGAACGAGGTCCCCAGGCCTGGCAGGGGTGGGGGCGGGGGTGGAGGAGGGGCGGGGGGTAAGGTCCCACTAGCACCAGGCAGTGGGGGTGGTGGAGGGGGTGGGGGGAACAAGGTCCCTGAGCCTGGCAGGGGTGGGGGTGGTGGGGGTGGGGGAGGGGGCCCAGTGGTGGAGCCAGGACTGGTGGATGCAGGCAGGGGTGGGGGTGGGGGAGGGGGAGGGGGAGGGGACCCGGTGGCAGAGCCGGGACTGGTGGATGCAGGCAGGGGTGGGGTGGGCATCTGTCCTTCCAAGGCTGCCGGCGGCTCACTGCTCGAGCTCCGGGCACGGTCAGCGTGCAGGCCGGCGAGGGTCACTGCTGGCTGCTGGACCTCCACGTCTGCCTTTGGGGCGCCCGTGTTTTGAAGGGAGCTGCCGCTTTGGCTCAGGCCTAGGTCGGCCTGGACACTCTTGTGGGCCTTGTCCAAGGAGCTGGGGCGGGGCCGCCCCTTCACAGACAGGAGCCGCTGGACCATCTCCTCCCGGCTGCATTCCTGGGCTGCGGTGGGGACGGCGGGGTCAGGCAGAGGGCCGAGGGGGCAGGCAGGGCAGAGGGAAAGGCAGGGCCCACTCGCTCAGGCGGGGTGCAGGGTAGGGATCAAGGATGGGCCCTCCCCCCATCTAAGACCCCAGTGTGTGCCCACCAGGCTGGGGCAGGACGGCGCTGTGGGCAGGGCCGCTCACCATCACTGGCCAGGAGCACGGCCCGGTTCACCAGGCTCTCCAGGGCCTCCCAGAGCAGCTGGCTGGAGCGGAGGCTGGGCTCCAGGTGCAGGAGGCCCTGCAGCACGGACAGCAGCTGGGCAGACGCCGGGGAGCAGCTCACCTGGGCGGCGGACGAGGAGCGCGGTCAGCGGCCACCCTCTCTGGGGCGGGCGGACCACCACTGGCGCAGGTGGCCTGACACGTCCCTTCTGAGCCTCTCGGGGGCCCTAGTGCCGGGCCTGCGTCAGGGCTCCCAAGTGACACACTGGGGACGTTGGGGGCCAACATCTCTCTGGGTGGGGCCGCCCGATGCATTGTGACAACCCGAAAGTCTCCCTGGGGACACTTGCTCTGGTCTGAGACCCACTGGGCGCAGTGAAGGACAGGGGGTCCCAGGCAGGGCGGCCTGAGCTGGACCAGAACTCGGCCTCCTGGTCTCTCACTGGTTCTGAAGCCCCCTCAGTCCACCTCATGGAGCCAGCCTGCTGGGGCCCAGGACACCTCCGGGCAGCCCTGATCTAGGGCCCCCGTTCTGGTCCCGACATCCCCGGGATGCCCGCTCCAGCCCCTCCCCGGGTCCCTGGCTGCTCCCCAGCTGGCTCCAGGTCTGGTCCGCTGCCCCGTCAGGGAGGGTGGTACCAGGGCGGGAAGTGGCCCCCCCCAGACCCACCTTGTGGAACAGGGAGGCAAAGACTTCCTGGTGGCTGTTCATGTCGATGCCCCCGCACACCTGCAACAGCTCCTCCTCGTCCTCCGCCTTGGCCTCCTCGAAGGCCTCCAGCTGGATCAGCAGGTCTGCGTCCTCCAGGTCCCTGCCAGGGGAGGGCCAGCCGCTGAGCCCAGGATGCCCCGCAGCCTCCCCGACCCCGGACAGACGCCCAGATGACCCTGAGCAGGGCCAGCAGGCCGGCCTGTGCCAGGGGGCAGCCAAGGTCTGCGGGGCAGAGGCTCACAGGATGGGCACTGGGAAGGCGGCACCCAGACCACCCCTGAGGGGGTGGGGGTGCTGTCAGAGCAGGGGGAGTGTGAGTGTTCACTGGGCTCAGGACCTGCCCATCATCTCAGTCTGGCCAATGATCTGCACCATCAGCGGCAGGGGGCCCCTCTCAGCACCCCAAAGACCTTTGCTAGAGGTCAGTCCTGCACCCGTCACACCAGCCCACCTCTTTCTCCTGGGGTCCCCCACCCCAAGCTGACACCCTAGAGAGTAGTCCTGATGAGGCCTTGGATGGGGGTTCTCCGCTATACGGGTTCCCAGCTACCGAGTTAAATTTGAATTTCAGATAAAGTGAATGATTTCCATGGAAGGACATCCCAAGCAATACCTGGGATATACTTATACTACGGCGCCGTCTGTGTGCGGTCCCATTTCACTGGAGCCCTGAACCTGGCAACACTAGCTCTAGGGGCAGCAGCCGAGTCCCAGGCAGGGAATTCTACAGGGCAGCCTGTCCAGCAGGGCACGGCAGGGATGGCTGCTTATCGGAGGCACTGCTTGGCACCCGAGGGGGAGGGGGCAGGCTGTAGGAGCAGGTGGGGACTCACCGAAGCCGTGTCAGGACGTCTAGCAGCTGCAGCCCTGGGGAGGGAGACGGGTCAGCAGGCCTGGAGGCTGCTCCGGCCCCCCATCCTCCAGTCCTCTGTACCCTAACGCCTTCCCTTGGCCCAGTCCTGACACCCAGAGCATCCAGCCCGTGAGGCGGGAGGGCCCTGCCATTCCCATGGGACACCACGGCCATGAAGGTCGGAGGGAGACATCTTGTTGGACGCGCGGTGGTGCCGTCAAATGGTCACTGTCACACCACCGAGGCTGGGACTGGGGTCAGGATCCTGCCTCGCACTGGGAGCTCCAGGGCTAACGTCCAAGGGCCCTGAAGGCCCTGTCCACTGAAGGGAGCAGGTGGGGGCGGGAGGCTTTCAAGACCCGTAACAGAGCCTTGCCCAGGCCCCGGTGGGGAGGGGAAGGGAGCTGGGGCCTCTCCCTGGGGCAGCGCAGGCGGGCTGACCGATGAACTCGCCACGCAGCTGGGTGCGGGCACGCAGGTCCTCGGGGCCCAGGATGATGGCGTTGATCACGCTGAGCAGGGTGACGACATACGGCACGTTGTCGCTGCTCGACAGCTCCGTCATGATGACGCTGAAGCGGTACTGCTGGCTGCACACCGTCTGTGGGGTGGGCGGGGTCAGCTTGCACACCGGCCCTCCCAGGCCCAGCCACCCTGCCACTCACCTTGTAATGGTCCAGGGCGTCCAGGGCCAGGGCGTGGCCCTCAGGCGAGTAGATGCACAGGGCGGCGAGCAACTCAAACACCTGCTTCTTGACCATCACGTTGGATGTGTCCAGAGCTGCCAAGGGCCAGATGGGTCTCAGTGGGGACCAGGGGTCCAGGCCAGGTCTCCCCCTCGGCACTTCCAAACCAGAACCCCCACACTTCAGCTGGGAAAGTGGGCAGCAGGCAAACACGGCGAGACTGCACCCACCCACTGCCCACATCGGGTGCTGACCCCTCCCACACCACAGGGGCAGGCCCAGGCGACCGGGGGCTGCCCCTTAGTTCTGAGAGGCCCTCGCTGGCTCTGGGCCCTTGTCCCATCCACATGCCTTACTTGGGTCAAGCTCGGGTCTTCTCCAAACTCAGTACCACTGCCTCCTGCCTCCTGCCCTGAACTGGAAGTTCTAGGACGTCCCCTGCCTGGCCCTCCCAAGAGCAAGTCACAAAGGACTCTGCAGACGGCACGGCCAGGCCCGGGCTGGGTCACAGGAATGGGGTGACTGCTATCTTACTCACCCACACGGGCACTCACCTGTCACTGCCCAGCACGGGGCAGCACAGCCGGGTGGGCAAGGGACACACAGTGACCTCTGTCTGCCAAGGACCTTTGGGGGTGTCTCCCAAGGCTGAGGACTAACTCTGGGAATGCCTGGGGAACTTTCTGGAGGAGGTGACCATGAGCGGGGACTTAAGGGGTGAGCAGGACTTTGTGGATACAGCCCTGGCTGGTGTGGCTCAGCGGTTAGAGCCTCGGCCCATGGACCAAAGAGTTGTGGGTTCACTTCCAGTCACGGGCACATACCTCGGTTGCTATTTGGTTGCTGGGCTCGTGCGGGAGGCGACCAAGCGATGTGTCCCTCTCACATCAATGTTTCTCTCTCTCTCTCTCTCTCTGAAGATAAATGGGAAAATATCCTCGGACTAAAAAAAACTTTGCAGATACAAAGCAAAGAGCAGCCTGAAGTGGACGTGGCAACTGGGGTCCGTGTTCAAGAAGCCCCCAGATGACAGGAATGGGGGTCGGGGAGAGGAGGGCAGCCGTGGATGCTGGCCAGCAGGTGCTGGCCAGGCCTGCTAATGAAGTTAGGGGCTCAGAGCCAGGTGGAGCGTAGGGTCACTTCTGCTTTTGATCCAGCCGACTCCAGCAGCCAGTGTGGATGGGGGCCTAGAGGCTCAAGATCGGGGGGCTGAACCAGCAAAGGGCTGGGTGGAGAGTTGGGGCAGAGTCATAGAACAGAGGGGGTAACTGGGTGCAGCTGGGGGGGAGGTCTCAGACTTGAGGCAAATGAGAAACTGGTGCCTCCTCCAGGAAGCCCTCCCAGCTGAACTGCCTCCTCCTGGGCACCCAGTCCTCCCACTGCCTTCCCCGGCCAGGCCTCCTGCTGAGTAGCTAAGGTCGGTCTGTCTGTGGTCTGCAGCCGTCAGGCCCTGCAGCTCACCCTGGGAGAGCTGGCGGACGTAGGCCTGGTTGCTGAGAATGTACTCCATGCCCTGCTGTGAGTTCATGACGGCGCGCACGCAGCTGACGCAGGTGAGCTGCAGCAGGGCGTCGGCGATGCGGGCCACGCCGCGGCCCGACAGGCGCGCCAGGGCCTCGAGCAGCAGGTCCAGGCCGCTCTGCTCCAGGAACTGCACCATCCAGCTGCCGTCGCTGCCCTCCAGCCGCTTGCGCAGGCCCGAGTAGTTGACCACCGACGGCATCTGCAGCAGCCGGATGCAGAGCTCGGGGTCTGCGTTCTCCAGGTTGGCCTCCGTGGGGTCCGAGTCCTGGGGCCCCAGCTTCTCCTTCAGCGCTGCCCATTTGCGCTGCGCGCCCTCCTTCACCGACATCTTGCTGAACTGTGGGGCCAGAGGGAGGCGGGGGTCAGCCGGGGCCTGGCCAGGACAGCATTCTCCGCCTCAGTATCCCCACTTGCCAAACAGATCCAGTGCTTCCCGGGGACGCCCTGCAGCACCCGGTGCTGGCTCCCCTGTGCCAGGGGCTCCTGCACCCATCCCTGGATGGATCGCCATAGCAACCGGAGAGGCAGCCACACTGCCTGCTGTGCGCACCATGACCGCATGACAACCTCAGGGGCTACACTGGCAGCAACACCACCGGCCCGGGGGTGACAATACAACAGACGTGTGTCTGGGATGCCCTTATCTCGCCCCCCACTCTTCCCAGCCCAGTGGATGGGTCAGATGGGCACAGTGGGTGGGTGGGGTGATTCCGGCCCCTGGGCACATCCAGGCTGCTCACAGTGCACGAGTGTGACGAGGGTGGGGGGAGTTGACTTGAGGGTCATGTCTGATGCCCATCCAATTCTGGGGCAAGATCAGGGCCCTGTGGGGGAGCAGCCCTGCCAGGCCCTGGCTTCTGTGGGCCTTAGTCTGTCAATCTGTGTGCAGGTGGAGGGCCGGGTGCCCCCAGGCCCTTGACATCTGGAGGTTTACCTGGACTCTGCTACAACAGGTGTGACCCCCCAGAACATGTCCCCCGACACGTGCCTCTGTGTCATGGCCACACTCACCCAGCCCCTTTCCCGGGAGCCCTAGCGTGACGCTGTCGCCAACCACAGCCCCTGGGGACTGGCCCCGGAGGTCGGGGCGGCCCACGCGCTCCAGCAGCCATGTATGGTTGGGTCTTAAATTTAGTCTGTGACGGGCAGTGTGGAGCCGCGGGAGAGACCCCGCGGGACAGGGCGTGGTGACGCCACTGCAGCTCACGCCCAGTGCCCACCCTTGACCCTCAGGCTCCCACCACCCCTGAGACAGGTGGTGTGCACCCCACTCCACAGGAGGTGGCACCCAGAGAAGCCAGGTCACGTGCCCACCAGTCTCACAGCTGCTGCACCTGGTAACGTGGAGGGAGCTCCAGGGGCCACCTGCGGTCATGCAGGAGACAGAGGCTGGCTGAGGTGAGAGCCACAGGCCCCACTGCCCTCTGCCTTGGTGAGGGCCTTGCGTGTCCTCCCTCAAGCTTCCGGAGGCCACCCGGGGCCTGCTGGGAGCACAGGAGCCTGAGGGCACCTGCGTTTCACCAGACCCTCCGGTTTGCTGTGGGTCCAGGCCAGGAGGCCAGCTCCTGATCCTCCCTCCGGGCCCACTGCCCTTCAGGACCACGGGGTCTTCCCTGGAGGCAGCGTGGATGAGAGGAGGAGAGGGCTCCGCTGACCTGCGTGTGTGCCCAGATGTGCCCCTTGCCAACAGACTTTGGCCAAGTCAGTTTCCTCATCTGCACCCCTGCTATCAGCCTGACAGGCAGCAAGGGGGTGTCGGGTGCTCAGAGCCCTCCCCCGGGGCCCAGTGCCCTGAGCCCAGAGCCCTCCCTGTGACTCCACGGTCTCACCCACCCTCCCAGCCCCACACCGTCCACTCACCCAGATGCGCAAGACCTTCCGGCTGCCTCTGCCCACCCAGTCCAGGCTCTGCCTCGGGCCGCCCCTCCCGTGCTCCTGGCTTCTCATCCCTGCCGAGTGCTGAGCTACCAGGCTGCCGGCTGCAGCCCCACTTCCTCCCGAGAACCTCTTGTGGCAGGGAAGGGGGCCGCTCCCAGTACCATGAAGTGCACAGCGGACGGCCTCAGTGTACTGCCACCCCCTTGGGTGCTGCTGCTTGAAGAGACTCCCACAACTGACCCCCCTCCCCGTCCCCACTGGCTCCAGTCCCTGCTTCTTGGCACAGGCTGAGTGTACAGAGAATTCTCCCAGGCCAGGCCTCTGGCATCCCAAGTGTCCTGTCCAGCCAAGAGCCCCAGGGGTCCCTGGACGCAGAAAAACCAGGGACAGCCAGCTAGACCCGGCCCGCCGGCACTGCCCAGAGCCCTCTGCCCGGGGACCATGGCTCACTCCCTGGAAAGACCCCGCTTATGGGACCCTTTGGTCTGTGGGGTGGAAGGCAGCTGGTCCCCTCCGCCCACGGAGATCCTCTGCTGTGCACCCAGCTCTGTGTCCAGTCAGCCACGACTCCCTGGACACCCGAGGCATCGAGGGTGCACAGGGCTGGCGTGGGCTAGTGCGAACAGGCTGTCCAGACGGATCCGCGAGATCGGCTGGCGACCAGTGGCATGTGGGGCAGCCTTCCCCCCCCCCCCCCCGTGATGCCCACCGGTCAGGTCCTGGGCAGAACACGTCCCCTGGAGGTATTCCCACGGACTTCCAGGATGAGAGACGGAATGTGTAAATGGACCACGGCAGACCACATGTAAAGATAGAACTCCAACCCACAACCTCCCAGGGAGCTGCTTCATCGGCAGGAAGCAGCCAGCCAGTCAGACCTGCAGGAAGTCTGCCCCGGAAACAAGGGCCACGCTTGATCGGCACCTGACAGCTCCCTAACTGTGTCCCCCCATTCCGCTTAGGGCCTGCCAGGGAAAGACAAATGTGCTCCCCGAGCATCACACAGGACACACCACTTACGGGCCACCCAGCTCCCTCACTCTCCTGCCTGCCCGGGCTGAGCTGCGTCTGGGCGGCAGGGCGGAACCGTCCCAGGCCAGGCCCTGGCATCCTAAGTGTACTGGACGTGCTGTCCTCAGGAGCAGGACTTGGGGACGCCCTTCCTGACAACACCCGGGAAGCCTGGGAGGCAGCACCTGAAGGTGGGGCCTCATTCCTGGCTTCCTGGCTGTGTGCCCCATCTGTAAAGTGACAGCCAGTGTCTTGGGTGGCAGCAGGGTGCTCCGTGGAGAGACTGAACCCACTGGGGAGTGAGTGCGCAGAAAACGCTCTCGGGGGCTGTAACGCCGTCTGTGGACGTGGGCCCTCCATGCTCCGGCTCGGCCCTGCCCTGCCCAGCCCGGCCCAGCCCAGCCCTGCCCAGCCCTCGGGCTGTGTCCTGCTCCCAGGGAGGCCGGGCGCCAGGGCCGGGCCGGGCCGGGCGGGGCGCAGGGACCGTCCAAGACACTCGCAGCGGGGCGGAGCCGCGGCCTGCCCTGGGCGGGGTCTCCCCGGGGGCGGGGCCTCCCGGGGGCGGGGCCACAGCTCTGGAATGTGTCGGGTGTTCTCAGAGCCGCCCGCGGAGGGGCGGGGCCTGCAGGAATGGACAGTCCCAGAGCTCGCAGCCCGCAGCCCGCACAGGGGCCCAAGCAGACAGAACAGAGCCACCCGGGACTCCCAGGCTGCACGTACTCTTGCGGCGCAGGCCAGCGGATAGGTCAGGGGTGCTTCGGTATCTCCATCTATCCCCATCTGCCCGCTAGGCAGTGCACCCCTCCCCCCGCACCAGTGGAACTAGGGGCGGGGGCCTTGCAGATGAAGACCCTAGGACTCTGACATGAGTGGGATCGTCCACCTTTTCTACCAATTGCGTGGGATTTCCCCTGGGATGGGTCATGCCTTCCCCTTCCATCCGGGGCTCCTAAAAGCAGGGTCTCCCTGGGAACTCTCCTGGGGGTCACCCACTGATCTGGCTGTCCTGAGGAGTGGGCTGAGTGCCCACAAGGGAGACAGGGGTTGCCTTCAGAGCCTGGAGGAGACGGGACACCTGGCCACCTCCTGGGCCACCTGTCTGCCTTCCAGACCATGCCTGGCACAGCGATGCTGGCACCTCATGTGGGCTTCCACATGCCTGGGCAGATGCACAGACTCTTGGGAAGCGGGCAAGCCGCCGCCCCTGCTTGGCAGCTGTCTGTCAATCTGAGTGAATGTGGGTGGGTGGGTGGGGGGACAGGGTCAAAGGTGGCCCCCCAGACTTCAGAGACCAGCTGCCCAGGCCCTGTTAAGCAGATGGAGAAACTGAGCCACAGAGGGCAAGCTTCTGAGGTTGGCACTGGGCACTGAGCTGTGTCCTGGGCACAGCTGCTGGGAGGCCCTGAACAGGCCCATCTGGCTTAGAGCACTGTGGTGGCATGGGGAAGCCCAGACTCTGGGCTAGAGGTCGGCACCCTTGGGAAGGGGGTGTTGCCTTCTGGTGCTGGACCCTGCCAACATTGGTGGGGGGCTCAGGGAACCCAGGGGTGGGGGCCAGGGCAGGCTCGGGCTAGGGCCATGGGCACCTGGGTGGGAGGCCGGCTGCCTGGGTGGAAGGCAGCTTTGGGGTGGCCCTTCCAGATCAGCACAGGGACTGGGGTGCTTCTGGGCCCAGAGCCAGCGGGGGCAGGTGCAGAGTGAGCCTGTGTTCCCCGGGGTGGGCGGGTGTGATGCAGGAGCGGGATTCCGGAACAGGGAGGCAGGGGCTGCCACGCTGTATTTTTAGTTCCTCCAAGAACCCAAATTTTTCCACTGCCTGGCAACCCTTGGACTGAGTTCCGGGAAGTTCCCTGGAGCCCAGAGGCAGCCCAGGCCCCGAGGGCTGAGCTCAGGCCCCTGGGGCTGAGACCGCCCTGCCATGACCCTGTTTCTCTCCCTCTCACCGTCTGGGCTGCTTCTGAGCCTCCAGCGCTGGTTTTACTTCCTTCCCCTCCAGGCCACAGCCCTCGAGAGACCCCCTGACCCATGTGGGTCACCTGCGCGGGCTCGTCCCAGGGAGGGGTCCTGGGAGCACTGCCCAGTTACAACGAAGATGAGAAGCAGGACACCAAGTGGGGACGCCACAGTGTAGGATTTTGACGAGTCACCCAGGACACACGCCCAGACACTAACAGAAGCTGCATCAGGGCGAACATGGTAGTTTCCATAATTAGAGACAGAAGACGGTGAGGGAAGAGGGCGAACAGCGTCCCCCAGAGTGGCTGCCTCAGCTCCGGTGCCCAGGGAACAAAGGGCAGGGCCAGTAGCTGGGTCTCCATGGCACTGTAGCAAAGCCCTGGTGTCCCCCTGCCCTCGACAGTGGAGAGGGGCAGGGATCTGGGCTGGCTGGGCTGAGAACTGGGGGACATCACTGGTCAGGGAGCCAGGCCAGGGCTTAGCCCACGGTGTGCCCAGGATCTGGGGCAGGTCAGAGCGATGTCAGACGCGGTCAGATCCCACCCTCCTAGGAAGGCACAGAGAGGCCAGGCAAAGGACTTGGGCAGACAGGGCAAGCCTTCTGGAGGGGGGCGGGCAGTGCTGCCTCGGGCGGGCCTCCTGCAGGGGCTCCTCCCAGTGCAGCCGTAAGCTGGCAGTGCATTTGCTGGGGGCGGGCGGTGGTCTGGGTAGCCCGGGTAGCCCCTCCCCCAGTGGCTGCCTGGCTCTGCTGTGGGAGGGCAGGAAGGGTGGAGGCGCCCTCACCAGGAAGCCGGGCTTTCGCTTCCACCTGCACTGAGGCTGGCATCGACCTCTGTCCTTGCTTCCCGCTGTCCTGGGGCCTGGGCTTGCCAAACTGCACAAAGAGCAGGGCCAATGGCAAGTTCCCGGAGGGCCTGGCCACCCCTGACACTGGGCAGAGCCTGGGAGCCCCAGCCCTGGGGAGCGGCCCAGGGGACCAAGGGCAACAGGGGCCCCTTCTGTGGCCCAGTCAGTTCCCACAGTGGCCACTGGAGGGAGTGACGTGTTCAGACCTGTGGTTAGGGGTGGGCAGGGCAAGGACCCTGGCAGGTCCACAGTGGGCAGCGGTCCAACCAGCCGCGGCTTCCACCCGTAAGGCTCCGCGGATGCAGGGGGACGCCATGCCTGGGTTCCCTCCTTCAGAACCAGACCTAGCTCTGAAATGCCTCTTCTGGGAGGCCTCTCCCAGCCTGGGGGGACCCTCAGTGCCCAGGGAGAAGGGGCAGGCCCGAGACAGGCTCTGATGTGTGTGCTGGGGTGGGACCTGAAGGCTACCCACTGCCGGCCCCAGCGTTCCCTGCCCCCAGCCCTGTCCTGTGTCCCAGCTCCAGGCTTCCTGCCCCAGAGCAGAGAAAACAAAGCAGCAGGCTGAGGGTGGAGGAGGGGCAACAGCCTGCACGACCTGGCACTGCCAGGGGCTGTGGCCAGGGCTGGGGGGAGGGGGGGCAGGCAGGGGTAGCTCAGGTTCTGAGTGAGACCAGGCTCTGCAGGCCCTGGTTCAGTCCTCAAAGGGGGATGGGCATGTCAATGCTGACCCCACCCCTGCCCCAGGCTGCTGGGCCCACATAGGGCTGGGATGCAGGGCCAGGAGCCCGACCCAGGGGGAGCGCTACCTAACCGGGCGAGCAGGATTCTCAGTGTCTGGCTCAAGATACTAGGTGCCCAGGGGCCAGGTCCATTCCAGACTCACTTTTCTCATCTGTAAAATGGTCACGATATTCTACTCCAGGGACCCTGGGTTGGCTGAGCCAGCATCACCAGCAAGGCCCCTCCCTGGCTGCTCCCCCACCTGCTCTCAAAGGGGACCTCCTGGGTCCCAGCTACAGGTGTTTGTCCTGGCCGTCCTACCACTCTGCCGCCACCTGCAGGCAGCCCCCACCTCCACGGCCTGCACCCCCCGCCCCCCCCCCCCCACCATGGGGGCAGCAGGGCCCTCCCACACCCCTGGCTGGGAGAGTGGATGTCTGCCTCCCGGCGGCTGTGCGCGGGCGGCAGTGCTGAGCTGAGCTGAGATGTACCCAGAGCAGAATCGGGACTGGGACATGAATGGCGGGGGAGGCAGGCTGCACACTGAGGCCACATCCCAGGGGATCAGCCAGGGTGACTGAGGCGCGCTCACACAACTTGCCAGGGT